TTTCTTACTGTTAAACACCATTACTTTAGTGATTTTATTTAGTATTTCTGTAGCAGATCAGGCTTCAGAGAAAAAATGAGCTTCAGTCAGAGGGAGTAAGAGGGTGAACCATTTGATTCTGAAACTTTTTCTATAGTTTCATCTTCTCCATCTTCTCGATTTTCTAAACTGTACTACAGACCATATTACAGACCAGTAAATGCCAAAACATTCATTTTTTGAGTCGGTTTAGAAGCTAAAACATCTTTTTTCTATAAAGATTAATGTTAAGATGCAATGACTAGGTTCCTAAAATACACTCGAAGCGCATACTACAGTTATATATCTACAGAACCTAAAGACTGCACACATTATTTCAAGAAAACCAGGAGTGTTCCAGTGATGGTGAGGAAGAAGAGAGCTCTCTCCTATAGCCCTGACCCTGAGAATGTGTTCTCTCTCCAGCTTCATGCTTCCTGAAGCCTGAGGAAGGGATGAGGGAGGAAAAGCAAGAGATGAGGAACCAGTATCATCTGCTAATAAACATTGCTCAATCCCTCTTAGGGCCTGAGAGAAAGGACTGCTTACTGCTCTTTCCAATATCACTACTTCTGTCTTCCTAAGGTTTCCTTCCCAACACACCACAGGACTATGTCAGAACTTTATCTTTCTTACTCCTAAAGGAAGCATAAAATGATGCTTTCCAGGTTTCCTAGGAATTTTAACTAGAAATAGTTAGAGCACACAAAAAGAGAGGCAATAAGAAGTGATGAAAAGGTACAAGATTTTTGGTCAGATAGTCTTGTGTTGAGATCTTTGTTCTGTCATTTAGTAGTACCCGCTTGGTCAAGTTACTTCACTTCGCTAAGCCTTTATTTCCTCACCCAGAAAATGAAGCTAACAACACCTACTTCTAAGAGTTATGCAGATCGATTACAATGCAAAAATCACAGAAAATATTGTGTCCTGTCTCACAAAGCAGCAAATATATTATCAATATGTTATCAAATATGTTATCTCCCAACATTTCCACCCAGTTTTTTTTCCCACTGAGATCAGTAATTCTCCAACTTTGACTTCACATCATTTATATTTATTCTCATCAGTAACATTACTGAGTGTATTTTAATCAGAAGGTCATTCAAGTTACAGCTATAGATACAAGCAAAAGACACAAATGCCATAAAATTCTCCAGCATTTCAAAGGAACACTCCACTTTCACAAAAAGCCTAAAGCAACAGATTTGGATAAACTCTTCGTCTTCACAACACAAGTTTGCAGAGTCCTTTTCTTTCTTCCTTCCCATCCCTCCCTCCCTTCCTTTCTTTTTCAGAAGTGGAGTCTGACTATGTTGCTCAGGCTAGATTGGAACTCCTGGGCTCAAGTGATCCTCTTGCCTTAGCCTCCTAAGTAGCTGGACTACTGGTGCACGTCACCATGCACAGCAAGATTTGCGATTTCAATCAATATAAGAAAGGTGCCCAGGAAGATAAATAATATAAAATGTAAAGATACTGAATAAATATCCATTTCTCTATCCTACCTACTTATCCTAGGATAATTATATATAAAAATTTAAATACCAAGTTCCTAAAGGAATCCCCAAAATTCTGACAATGGGCTTTTGTTGAAATACAGACTTTGAACATTCTGTTCATGTTCAATATTGGTGTCCTGTGCCAGGTATCAGAAACATTTACACATGTGAAATACAGCCCCAAGTATTCATTTGGTACCTCTTCTGCAGAAATCTTAATTAAGATCCAACCAGTGAGGACTGACTGCCCCCACTCCTATTTGCAACTAACTTCTCCTCCTTTACATGCAAATAAGTTAATGAAACCACAAATTATCCTGTCACAGAAGCTGAAGTACACCTGAATATATACCTGAAGTTCACCTTCAGTTCCCTCTCCCCTATACCAAGTTCTCTAAAATCTATACCCGAAATTTTAAATCCATCCCTTCCTTATACCCTTTAAACACATCGCTTATTAGACAACTGCCATTTGTTTCTTGCAACTAGTCTCCCTGTCTACAGTCTTGACTATCCAGTGTTCTACAACTACAAATGACCAGTCGTTTTTCAGCGAAATAATACAGACAATAAGAAGGCATCACCCATAGTAAGGTTAAGTAAGTATTATTTCATGAAACATTTATTTCAGTTATAAATATGGCTTATTTGCCAGGTTACATATATTTCTTACTCTGTGTACCAGATAAAGTTTATGCTGTAGGTTGCTGTTAGAAAAGTCCAAAAGCCACTGCTTAAGCTATATTTTCTAAAATATTAACCAAATGGTATTCCCACTCTTAAAGCTTTTTAGTGGTTTCGCCATTAACCACAGAATAAGGTTGAAATTCCTTAAAATGGAACTTGAGTTTCTTCATAAGCTCCTGCCTGTCATCCAGCCTCATCTGACACTCCTCTGTCACCTTATGCTCTAGTCTTACCAACTTTTGCATGTCTTTTTCCCTCTGCGTGTATAGTTTTCTTCTCTGGATTTATACAGCAAATCTTGCTCATCTTTCAAGGCTTAGTGCAAGTCTGCTCCTTACTGCCCCTAAGTTCTAAGACATCTAAGTGTACACCCTTCACCAGAGAACTGCCTGAGCTCTGCCAGCCTCTTGCACTGTTAACCAATACATCCTTTTTGAAATGCTCTCCTTTACCTAACACAAGCCAGGCTTTCCTCCCACCTCTGTGGCCGCTTCTCTTCAGTCTACCCTTGAATGTAGGTGTTCCTAAAGCCTCTGCCCTAGGTCATCTTTACTTTCTCTACATGTTTATATGCTCTTAACTATGCCCATAGCATCCATTATGATGTTTACGCCAAAAACTCCCCCATCTATAACTCCAGCACAGAAATAATTCTTCTGAGGTAGAAACTCAAGTATCCCATTCTTTCCTGAATCCATCCCCTTCCCTATTGCCAGCATTCAAGTCTAAGCTACAATTATTTCCAACCTAGATTAACTCCTTAACTGAGTCTTGGGGCTCCACTTAAGTTCCCCTTCAATCCGTTCTTTATTTTCTAGACACCACAACAGACTTTTCAACAAACAAATCTAATGAAGTCACTCCCCTACTAAAACCCTTGAGTAGCTTCTCATTGCCCTTAAAGTTCAAAATCCTTAGCACTGTCTACATATCCAATGACTTTTCTCTACCACTCTGCAGCCTCATGTCTCACTACTCTCTTGTGTTTACTCTATATATAAATTGTACTTTTTTTTTTTTTTTTTTTTTTTTTGAGGCAGTTTTGCTCTTGTTGTCCAGGCTGGAGTGCTATGGTGCGATCTGCGCACACTGCAACCTCTGTTTCCTGGGTTCAAGCAATTCTCCTCCCTCAGCCTCCTGAGTAGCTGCGATTACAGTTGCCCGCCACCACACCCGACTCATTTTTTCTATTTTTAGTAGAGACGGGGTTGCCAGGTACGGTTACGTGTGCCTGCAATCCCAGCTACTCAGGAGACTGAGGTGGGAGGATCGCTTGAGTCCAGGAGTTCTGGACTGTACTGTGCTATGCCGATCGGGTGTCCGCACGAAGCTGTAGTGGGATCGCGCCTGTGATGCACTCCAGCCTCGGCAACATAGCAAGACCCTGTCTCTATTAAAAAGAGAGAAAGAGAGAGAGAGAGAGAGAGAGAGAGAGAGAGAGAGAGAGAGAGAGAGAGAGAGAGAAAGGGGTTTCACCATATTGGCCAGGCAGGTATTGAACTTCTGACCTCAAATGATCTCCCACCTCGGTCTCCCAAAGTGTAGGAATTACAAGTGTAAGCCACTGCACCCGGCCTCAGTTGCACTCCTGTAACACTTCCTTACCTCCTCTTCACCTAACTCCTCCGACTCATACTAAAGTCCTCATAATAAGAATCTCATCTTCTGGAGGTCTATCTTCGATCCCATAAATTAGGTTAGGTAGAACAATCTGTCCTTCACCTGTCAGAACATCCATCACCTTTTATTATATTAATTTTTGCTATTGCCTATCTCTCCAGATATGAAGAGTTTAAGATATGAAGGCAGAGGCCAAGTTTCTCTTGTTCAACACTGTATGCCAGGGACGAGTACAATGCCAGCCTAGACTAATAATAGCTCTGCACCCTGGGACCCAGAATCTGAAAAAGTTTAGTTGTTTTCTTCCTATCTAGAGGCTGAAGCGCCGTACTGTTTCACATACACAATTAAATCGCCTTGACGACTAAGGCAATTTCTCAATCAAACATAAGAAGCAAACAGGTGGTGGAGTCTCCTGCCATTTTCCGCCCTATGAGTGACCGCTCATCAGAGTTTCTCACGTCAATCGCACCGGGAAAAATGCGGCCCCATTCACCCACTAGTGGGTTTTGTAGCTCAACAAGTGGACCTCAAAATGATGATGCACACAAGACCAGAAAGGAGTGACTGGAGCCCTTGGGTCCTCAGACTGAGACCAGAAGGTTAGGGCCGAGGCGAAGGACAAACATTTTTATTTCCCCACGTACCAAGCGAGGTGGCGCTGCCTCTGTGCTGTCCCGCCCGCCCTGGGACGCAGACTGGAGAGGACGGTGGGACCCTGAACTGCACGTGAGCGTCCTTGGGGTCGAGGACGCGCCTCTGCCTGCTGGGAAATCTCCGGGCGTCGGAAGCAGCCGGCGAAGTTGCAGCGGCGCCCCAGCGGGGTCGCTTGGTGCAAGGTTCACAGCCGGGGCCCGCATTCATGCTGGGACCCGCAGCGCACTGAACCCGGGCCGGCCCGGGCGGAGAGCCTCATTCACTAACCCTGAGAGGGACGGACTGCGCCTCCTTCTCAGCGCCTCCCCGCACTATTCCCTCTCTGACGCTGCCTGCTTCCGCAATTGCTGGTCCGCCGGCCTCCCAAGTCAGGCCGTAAGCAGTCGCCTGCCTTCCCTCTTCCACTGGCACCCCACCTGCCTCAGGATGCGCCGCTTTGATTTGGGCTTCGTTCACTTTCCCACCACCGGAAGGCTGCCGTCAGGCGCTTCCGGCTTCCGGGGCGCACACTGCCGCAAAGCGGAAGTGTGGTGCTTAGCGGGAACCGGCGCCCGGAAGGTCAGCGTGTGAAGGAGGCGCTGGCAACGCGGGGTTACCCGCAGTTTCAGAGAAGTAACGGCCCAGCGGACCACCCAGGCTTGAGGCAGCGGCTGGAAGCACTCGGTTTGCTGCGATACCATGGAAGGAGGCGGGGGAAGCGGCAACAAAACCACTGGGGGGTTGGCTGGCTTTTTCGGAGCCGGCGGAGCAGGTTACTCGCACGCGGATTTGGCAGGCGTCCCGCGTGAGTATGGGGCCTAGCTTGCGATCATTTCTCACCGGTTCCTGCGTCTACACCAAAGTGGCGTGTACCCTGTTTTATGTTTTAGTATTTTCTCTTCCTGGCATTCACAAGCTTCACTATTACTGGTGGGTTTAGTGTATCTGCATGGCTGCTCTTTCAAGATCGAGTGGGAGGGCCACGGATCTCCTGTGGAAGCTGTCCGTGATTGACCTGGACTCGCGAGATGATGCGTGTTTTCTTAGGTTTATATCCAAGCCTCGTATCTTTTGTGTGTGGTGGGCCGTGTGATTGACCCTTGATTAAAAGTAGAGCCCATCTTTAGAAGTGAATATATCCCAAACAGCAAGCATATAGTTACCTTTTTAGTACACGGCGACATATTCTGAACCCTCTGGTAGCCGTCAGGGCAGAACATTTCAGTAATGTTTCATATAAGTAAGGAATCAATATGAATTGAGACAGGCTGGGAAATCATCTTAAGGAGCTAAGAAGTAAGCTGAACTTTAAAGGTGTATAGACATGAAGAAAGAAGACAGGTAAGAAAGGGAAATACGCAAGATCAGGGATACAGAGGCATGAATTTGCTTTTGCCTCTCCTCAGTCTTTTTTTTTTTTTTTTTTTCTTGAGACACCCAGGTTGGAATGCAGTAGCGTGATCTCGGCTTACTGCAGCCTCCCCCTCTCGGATTCAAACGATTCTCCTGCCTCAGCCTCTGGAGTATCTAGGACTACCGACGACTGCGACCATGCCAGGCTAATTTTTTGTATTTTTAGTAGAGACAGGGTTTCCGTGTTAGCCAGGATGGTCTCGATCTCCTGACCTCGTGATCTGCCCGCCTGGGCCTCCCAAGGTGGTAGGATTACAGGCATGAGCCACCGCGCCCAGCCTCTCCTCAGTCTTTAATAAGAAAAGATCTTTCATGTCCGTAGTTTTTTGTCAAAAAAACTTAATCTAGAACACGAGGTGTTTTGTTGTTTTGAGAGTCAGGACCTTATTCTGCAAACCAGGTTGGGGTGTGTTGGCATGATTGCAGTTCACACTGAAGCCTTGCACTCCTGGGCTCAAACAATCCTCCCACCTAAGCCTCCTAAGTAGCTGGACCTATAGGTACATGCCACCACGCCTGGCTAATTTTTAACTTATTGTGGAGATGGGGTCTCCCTGTGTTGTCCAGGGAGCTCAAACTCTTGAGCTCAAGCTATCCTCCTGTCTCGGCCTCCCAAAGTGCTTGGATTCTTAGGCCTGAGCCTAGCTATGTACCTGTGTAGAACACAGTTTCATATTAATCTTAGTATCTCTGAGTTTCACAGCACAAAGAGCACCCACTTCCTTAATGTGACGATATTGTTACATAAATTTGATTAAGATTTGAAGGTAAATTGAGGGACCGGTGAATTAACACCACTTACGGAGCTTCTGCAGTGTGCTAGCTACTTTTCTGGGTGCCTGACTGTAGCGGGGTTTTTTTGTTTTTGTTTCTTTTTAGAGGACTTGCTCTCACAGAGCTTACATAATACTGGAGTAAGCCAGCAAACATAAATTAAAACATTGCAGTTAAAGTGCTGTAAAGGCAATAAAGTAGTAGAGTCATGAGATCGTGATGGAAGTAGGAGGCCATTCTAGAATGGGTTAGGGAAAACATCCCAAGGGAGTTGACATTTGCGCTGTGACCCAAATGTAGTACAAATGCTTGGGAAGCGAGTATCCAGGAAAATAGCTAGTGCAAATATCCTGAAACAAAACAAATTTGGCATGTTTAAAGAACAACTCTTAGGCCAATCTGTCTTCGTAGTAACAAGGAAGTTGGATCAATTGAAGGTAGATAAGAGAGATAGGGAATGGTAGTTAATGTAGGGTTTTGTAAGTCATGGTAAGGAGTTTGGATTTTCTTTAGAAAAATCACTGTAGTTGCTATGTAGACAGTGAATTGAAGGGGCAAGAGAAAGCAAGGAGTTAGGTAGGAAGTTGTTGCCATGAGATTTGTTGGTCGGACAAGGATGGTAGCAAGAGAGACTATGATAAGTAACACAATTCAAAATAGGCATTAAAAATCGAACTAACAGAACTCCAAATTGATGAAAAGATCAGAGGCATGGGTGATGCATAGATTTGTGAATAACTGCTGAGATACAGAAGGATCCAAAGATTGACAGGTTTTACTGTTTTTAATGTTAGTGAATTCAGGTCTGGCCTTCTGAAAGTTTGTGTGTTCTTTTGCACAGACCCACATCCCTGTGGTAATGACCCAAGGATTCTCTACATTGCCACAGTAAATCCGTTGTCAATAGTAATATCAGAAGAAACTGCCTTGAAATACTTATATAGAACATGTACACAGAAAACCCAACCACTGTTTTTCCCAAGAAATTGGTTAGTCTTTTCTCAGTCTTATTTTGCAGTTTACATACTTACCAAACATTCTTGTACTAAAGTGAAAGAAATTAGCTTTATAAATGGCTTGGGCTGTGCTTCCTATAAGTTTGATAATCTGATCTGTGTCATTGCCAATGTCTTATTGGTATAAAAGCCTAAGTCACCAGTGCAAGACCTGATTTGGGATTGAGGATCTCAGGATGAGTCAGTCCTTAAACTGACAGATAGGGAGGATAAAAGGGAAAACTTTTTCACCTTCAGTGAGCCTGTAAAAATTGCAAACACATGTAACAGTCAGGAGCTGGATTAACTCTTAATTAACTAAAGAATTTTGTTGCAATGTGCCATTTTGTTTTCTCTCTAGTAACTGGTATGAACCCTCTGTCTCCTTATTTAAATGTGGATCCACGATACCTCGTGCAGGTAAGATTAAGATTTTTACTAGTTTGGTGTGCTATCTTACTGTTTAAAAAAAAAAAAAAAAAAAGCCAAGTGCTTATTATGCTGACTTGAACTATGACATGCACTTCTGGAGGTACTAAGCCTCTGGTCTCCATTCACCCTTTTTTCCTAACAAACCCTTCAAGCTTGGCCTGCATCTCTCTGAAACCAGTTAACTCCCTTCAAAGGCTTATTTTTTAAAAACCAAAGTGGAATTAATTTTTAAAAGCACCCCAATGAAAGTATCGGGATGCATAATTACAAAGTGTGTGGGTTGGCTCTTTTTTTTTTTGAGGTGAAGATTTGCTTTTGTACCCCAGGCTGGAGTGCAGTAGCACAATCTCTGCTCACTGCAACCTCAGCCTCCTAGGTTCAAGCAATCCTCCTGCCTCTACCTCCCAAGTAGCTGGGACTGCAGGTGCCTGCCACCATGCCCAGCTAATTTTTGTATTTTCAGTAGAGACAGGGTTTCACCATGTTGACCAGGCTGGTTTCAAACTCCTGACCTCAGGTGATCAGCCCGACTTGGCCTCCCAAAGTGCTGGGATTACAGACAAAGTGTGTTTTAAAGCTCAATTTGCAATATCAGGGCTCTTTTGACTAAGCATCAGAAGTTTTAAAGAGTATATTAGGAAGGCAAGGTTGATTTAACATCTGAAAATTAATGTATTTTGCCATATCAATTGATAATAAAGCAGTCAAGGAAAGAATACAGTACAAAGACCACGCTTATCTCAGTAGATTCACAAAAAGCATTTGACAACATCCAGCACTCCCTTTCTGATTAGAAAAACAAACTAGGCTGGGTGCAGTGGTTCACATCTGTAATCCCAGTACTTTGGGATGCTGAGGTGGGTAGAGCACTTGAGGCCAGGAGTTCCAGACCCGCCTGGCCAACATGGCAAAACCCTGTCTCTACTAAAAATACAAAAATTAACCGGGTGTGGTGGTGCCTACCTGTGATCCCAGCTGCTTCAGAGACTGAGGCATGAGAATCAGTTGAACCCTGGAGGCAAAGGTTGCAGTGAACCAAGATCATGCCACTACAGTCCAGCCTGGGCAACAGAGTGAGACCCTATCTCTAAATAGACAGACAGACAGACAGATAGATCAGTCAGTCAATCAATCTAGACACAGAAGGGACTTCAGCCTGGTGAATGGCATCTACAGAATATCCAAAGCGAACATATTTAATGGTGAAAGACTGAATACATTCTCCCTAAGATCAGGAACAAAATAAGTATGTTTACTCTCATTTGTATTCAGCATTGTCTGGCCAGGTCCGTTAGGCAAGCATATGAAATGGCAGTCAAGTTGAAAAATAAGTTAAATTATCGGTTTATAAGTGATACGATCTTATCTATCAGAAAATCACAAGGAAGACCTCAAAAATCTATTAAAACTAACAGCCGAGTTCAGCAAGTTGCAGAATACAAGTTCAATATACATAAATCAAATATATTTCTAGACATTCACGATGAACACTACAAAAATGAAATTACAAAAAATTCATTACCAATAACATCAAAAAACAAATACTTAGAAATAAATGGACCAGGTACAAAACATATTCTGAAAACTATAAAACGTTATTGAAATTAAGTGAAAAGGCATGTGCTACGATCCTGAAAAATTTACTATTAAAATGGCAGGACTCACCAAATTAACCAATAGATTTAGTGTGGTGCCTGTCAAAATCCCAGCTGGCTTTTTTGGCCAAAAATTGACAAGCTTTTATCCTAATATTCATAGGGAAATTCAAGGGACATAGAATGGCTGACAACCTTGAGAAAACAGATTGGAGGACTTGAACGTCCCAATTTCAAAACTTTGTACAGAGCTATGAGACTATCATGATAGTAACATAAGAATGAATCCATAGATTAAATAGAGTCTAGAAGAAAACCCTTACAATATATAAAGTCACTTGCTTTTCAGTAAGGATGGTGAGACAATTAAGTCAGGGGAAACGTTAGGACAACTGGAATCCATATGCATTAAAATGAAGTTGAACCCTCACCCTGCACCATATACAAAACGTTAACCTCTGAATGGATTAAAGACCTAAATGTAACAGCTAAAGCTGTCAAACTCTTAAAAGAAATCATAAGCACAAGTAATTGTGACCTTGGATTAGACAGTAATTTCTTGGATGTGACACCAAAAGCACAAGTGATTTTAAAAAAGTTAATAAGTTGTATTTAATCAAATTTTAAAATTTCGTGGTTTAGACAATACCAATAAGAATGAAAAAAGGCCTAATGCAGTGGCTCTTGCCTGTAATCCCAACACTTTGAGAGGCTGGGGCGGGAGGATTACTTGAGCCCAGGAGTTTGAGACCTGTCTGGGCAACAGAAGATCCCATCTCTGCAGAAAATACAAAAATTAGCTGGGTGTGGTGGTGTGTACCTGTAATCCCAGCTACTTGGTAGGCTGAGGTGGGAGGATCACTTGAGCCCAGCGGGTAGTCTTCAGTGAACCATAATCAGGCCACTTAACTCTAGCCTGGGCAACAAAGATCTTGTCTCAAAAGAAAAAAAAATAGGGAAAAGACAATCTACAGACTGAGAAAATATTTGCATATTATGTATCTGATAAGGAATTTATATCTAGAGTATTGTTTTAAACTCTTAAAACATTAATAAAAAACAATTACAAAATGGGCAAAGGATTTGAGTAGACACTTCTTCATGAAAATATACAGATGTCTAATAAAGCCATGAGAGCTGGTCAGTAACATTAATTAGAGAAATGGAGATCATAAAACCACAATGAGATACCTCTTAACACCTATGAGGATTACTATAATCAAAAAGAAAGTAAGTATTGGTGAGGATATAGAGAAATTTGACCTCTGAACATTGTTGGTGGAAATGTAAAGTGATACAGCTGCTTTTGGAAACAGTCTGGCAGTTTCTCAAAGTGTTAAAAATAGAGTTACCTTATGACTGGCAATTTCAGTCAAGTATACTGCATACTCAAGAGAATTAAAAACCTGTGTACACATAAGTTGTAAATGAATGTTCCTACTAACATTCTTCATGATAACCAAAAAATGGAAACAAATGTTTATCAACTGATGAATGGATAAAAAGTGTGGCATAGCCATACAATGGAATATTATTTGGTAATAAAAATGAATCATTAAATAAATATTTTATTAAAAAATGAATTATTAAAATATGCTATAATGTGAATGAACTTCCTAAATGAAAGAAACCAGTCACAAAAGACCACATATTGTGTGGTTTCATTTATATGAAATGTCCAGAATAGGCAAATATATGGATAAGAAAGAAGATGAATAGCCTCCAAGGGTTGGGGGTAAATGTGCAGTGGGTATGGGATTTTGTGATGAAAAGGCTTTAAAATTGATTGTTGTCTTCGTTGCACAGCTCTGAATATACTAAAAACCACTGAATTATATACTCTAAATAGGTGAATTATATGATACATGAGATATATATCAGTAACTCTTGTTTTCTCTCTCTCTCTCTCTCTCTCTCTCTCTTTTTTTTTTTCTTCTTAAGACAGAGTCTCACTCTGTCACCAGGCTAGAGTGCAGTGGCGCAATCTTGGCTCACTGCCATCTCAGCCTCCGAGGTTCAAGCGATTCTCCTGCCTCAGTCTCCCTCATAGTTGGGATTACAGGTGCGCACCACCACACCCAGTTAATTTTTGTATTTTTAGTAGAGACGAGGTTTCACCATGTTGACCAGGATGGTCTCTCCCGACCTCATGATGCACCTCACCTGCCTTAGCCTCCTAAAGTGCTGGGATTACAGGTTTGAGCCACCCCACCAGGCCTCTCTTTTGTTTTTTTCAAGAGACAGAGTCTCACTCTGTCTTCCAGGCTGGGGTTGCAGTAGCAGCATCATAGCTCACTGTAACCTCAAACTCCTAGGCTCAAGTGGTTCTTTCGCCTGATCTTCCCAGGTAGCTAGAGCTGCAGGTGAATACCACCACTCCCAGCTAATTCTTTTTTTACATTCTTTGTAGAGATATGATCTGACTTGGTTGCCTAGGCTGATCTGTAGCTCCTGGCTTCAAGTGATTCTCCTGCTGTGGCCTCCCAAAGTGCCAGAATTACAGGCATGAGCCACCATGCCTATTTTTTAAGAGTTATGGTTGGAGCTTTTTATTTCAAAGTTGAATCACTAACAGCATCTGTCAGTAGCTGCATATCTTGTGTTAAGTGTTCAAATTGAAGCAAGTCCATGGTTAGGACCTTGCCAGTTTAAAGCGTCATTGTTTTTTCAGGAAATGTTTTTTAAGTGTTTTATATATATTATAAGTTTTTAAAATTTTCAAACTATTACTGGATTGTTTTAAGTAATTTTTTAGATTTTCAAGTGTTATATTTTAACATTGGGTGTTCATGGATTTTTTTTTTTTTTTTTTTTTTTTTTACTTTAAAAGTACCCCTTTGTCAATTTACTAGTTGCATGTATTTTGCTTAAATGTTGAATCTACACTTAGAGGTTATTATCTAGCTCTAGTTCCAAATTCAGTATCACTGTGACTCTGCATTGCTAGGTGGGGCTTATTAAGGTTAGATGTAAGATTTCATATCTCCCCTAAAACTTGTGAGTTCATTCTTCATCATGAGCATCTATCTTCCATTGGAATTCTAGAAGGACTTTAGACTTGAAAAAGTGTGTTATAAACTTCATTTGTTATTAGAAATAATTATGGAAACCTTGAATTTAAAGATACCATAATAGGGCCAGGCGCGGTGGCTCACGCCTGTAATCCCAGCACTTTGGGAAGCCGAGGCGGGTGGATCACGGGGTCAAGAAATCAAGACCATCCTGGTCAACATAGTGAAACCCCGTCTCTACTAAAAATACAAAAAATTAGCTGGGCATGGTGGCGCATGCCTGTAGTCCCGGCTACTCAGGAGGCTGAGGCAGGAGAATTGCCTGAACCCAGGAGGCGGAGGTTGTGGTGATCTGAGATCGCGCCATTGCACTCCAGCCTGGGTAACAAGAGCGAAACTCCGTCTCAAAAAAAAAAAAAAAAAGATACCATAATAGAAATTACATTTTGTGAAACTTTATTTATGCTTTTGAAGGTTGGAGACATCTTAAATAAAATAGTGACTGTCAACTCACCCTGTAGTGACTTTGGTAACACCTTTTTTTTTCTTGTTTAATAATAAAGATAGGGTCTTACTATGTTGCCCAGGCTGGTCTTGAAATCCTGGGCTCAAGCAGTTTTCTCATGTTGGCGTCCCAAAGTGCTAGGATTACAAACATGAGCCACTGTGTCCAGCCAACTTTCATCTGATGCAGTATTGTAGTTTCTCTTACTAATGCTTTTATATTGTCACTACTCTTACATTCTCATTGAAATTTTTAAAAAATTTTATCAAGTAATAATTTTTTGTTAGCCCAGGTGAACATCTGGTACAAAATAAGGAAAATTTAAATATTTTTAACACCCATAGGGTTAAACACACAAAATTATAAAGTAAATTTTTTTCTTTTTTTTTTCATTGCTTCCCATAAAACAGATAGAAAAATTTTATGTCATCTCAGCCTTTGTTTTTTTTCCAGCAGGTACATTGATTCCCATTCTTGGATTTATCTTCTGTGTTAGCAAACTCTGGTACTTAGGGGATTTTAGTAACACTGGTATCCTGGAGTGTCAGCAGTACAAGTTTAACAAGAGCTTTTTAGTGTATCTTTCTTACATGCAATATATTAACATATTTTGATAACAACCTTGTTTGTGTGTGAATTGATGGACATTTGCTTGCAGCCCTTGTTATGTTTTTTAATTTACAGTTGATACTAGTTGAAAATGAATTGGTGCTGACATGCACTTGTGCTTGCTTGATATGTTCATCACAGCCATTTAAAAAAAAAAAAAAAAGGTTTTCTATTCTTTTTTTTTTTTTTTTTTTTGAGACGGAGTTTCGCTCTTGTTACCCAGGCTGGAGTGCAATGGCGCGATCTCAGCTCACCGCAACCTCCACCTCCTGGGTTCAGGCAATTCTCCTGCCTCAGCCTCCTGAGTAGCTGGGATTACAGGCACGTGCCACCATGCCCAGCTAATTTTTTGTATTTTTAGTAGAGATGGGGTTTCACCATGTTGACCAAGATGGTCTCGATCTCTCGACCTCGTGATCCACCCGCCTCGGCCTCCCAAAGTGCTGGGATTACAGGCTTGAGCCACCGTGCCTGGCCTTCTATTCTTAATTAGTGATCTGTTTCTGCATTGAAGGATAATTTTTTTTTCTTTTCAGCAGCCATGGCCTGAGAATGAAGGATAATTATTTACCTTACCTTATTGAATCTAGCATTTCTGAAAACTCAATAAATACAATTTAAGACTAAGTCATTAATTCCAAACTTGAAGTACCCTAAATTTATAAAACTATATGCAATTATATCATGACATGGGATCTATTCAGATTTTATTATTGGCTGGTAGACCATTCTTATGTGATGAGAGTGGATGTGCTTGTTTACTTTTGTAATTTTTGATGAGGATGTATGCACATGCCAGAAAGAAAGAAACCAATGCAGAACTACAGTTTTCTTACTGGAAATGCGTTGACCAATGTTCAGTATTTGCCACAATGAGGTAGGAGAATGTCAGTGGTCTTCACTATGTTAAATGTGACATACTGCATTTCTTTTTGCCAAGGGTATGAACTAACCATAGAGGCTTATTTTAACTATCTTTGCATGGAAATCTTGCCAGAAAAATGAGGGTGGTGGTTTTTGTTCAGTCCAGCTAGGTGATGGAATTTTGTTTGTTTTTTCAAGTGTGTTTTTCATAAAGGTATATTGACTCTTCAAAATCGATCGCTGTATTTTGCTCTTAAGAGTGTCATTTCTCAATCCTAGTATTTTGGGTGACCTTTCAGGGGTTCATGCCTCATTTTGTGTATGCAATTACTAGAAAGAGGGTCTGTACCTTTCTAAGATTATCAAAGGAATATATACTCCTTAAACAGATAAGAATTATTAAAGAGGGTCATTTGCCATTGCATAATTGATCCAGACTGTTGTACTTTATTAATTTTTGTGAACATTTGGTTTTATACATAGAATGCACAATAAATAGCTGCTACAGAATGAAAGTTATTTTCTTCTTTCAGACTGTTCTCTTCTCATAGTTTTCAGTGTACCTTTGTCTAGAGTTGTCATTTCTAAACACTTTTGCACAAATCTATCAGATTTATGTCATGAAGGAAACAAAGTTCTTAATGAGACTCCCTCCTAAGAACTGTGTACTTTGATTTAGGTGTTAACTTTTGTAGAAAGTTTTATTTTTAAGTATAGGTTTAATTTGAGTTAATATAAGGTTTATTACTTTCTGTGAAAAATTACTTTGAAGTTTTAAAAAGGCACTTGCAAGATTTGTATCTTGAGGAACACTCAGCCTGGTTTTCATTATTATCCTTTAAGGATACAGATGAGTTTATTTTACCTACTGGAGCTAATAAAACCCGGGGCAGATTTGAGCTGGCCTTCTTTACGATTGGAGGATGTTGCATGACAGGTGAGTGTTACATACTTTTTTCTCAAGTTTACTCATTTCAAGTAGCAAAGGGTGTTTAAAATCAAAAGCAATTCAAATGTTGGTTTCAAGGTGTTTTTTAAAAAAATTATTATTTACATTTGTCAAGTGAAAAAGAATCAGAAGTACAGTTATGCAGTTTTGAGTTTGTTTGTTTGTTTTTAATATAAAGCTGTCTTATCTGGGTGAATTGTTATGATTTACCAGGGGCTGCATTTGGTGCAATGAACGGTCTTCGGCTAGGATTGAAGGAAACCCAGAACATGGCCTGGTCCAAACCAAGAAATGTACAGTAAGTCTCATGTAACCATCTGATGTAGTGATACTTGAATAGTAAGCTCTGTTTTGTTGGTTTGAGGAGTACAACCTTGAGATTACAAATGGTTAGTATATTTATATGCTTTTTGTCTTTTTGTTTTTTGATCTTACTCAAAAGCAACTAAGGAATCAGATTGCTGACTCTAAGCTTTTAAAAAGGAGTGATTTTTTGAATCAGTGTCCCTTACTCAGCTAGTGCTACACCAGCCTAACTTCTCAGCTACACCTGTTACATTCTCTAAGCCTATATGACATGCTTTTCAAATTGTTGAATTGCTGGCATTTTGGATTGTTCAGGAGCATGCAGAGCCATAAGACATGGTAATGAAAACATAAGCAGCACATGAGAGGGATGCTGTCATTTAACTTGAACTTCTTACTGATTTTACTTTACATTTCTGAAATGGCGAGCCAGATAAATTTTAAATAAAAATTTTAAAATTAGAGTTAATTCCAAAAGCATAAGACACAGTTTTCTGTTAGGAACTTGAAGTCGCAGAGAAGGGAAAGTATAGTTAAAAGGGTCAGAAAGAATGTTTTCACCCTACTTAAGAAGTAAACATGGCCAGTTCCTCTTGATATTCCTTAAAAAATATGTTTAGTTTTGCCCATTTATGTGCTTCATATAAGTGTAATCATGAGTATGTATTCTTCAATGGCTCACTGTTTTGTTTTAGGACACTTTAAACTCCATCTTCCATATTGTTCAGCCAGCAGATGGCACCAGATGTGCTAGAATTAGAGCATGGGAAACTGGAAGGCCTGTTGTGGCGTTTTTTTTGAGAGACAGAGCCTTATTGTGTTGCCCAGGCTGGAGTGCAATGGCACCATCCCAGCTCACTGCAGCCTTGACCTCCTGGGCTCAAGTGATCCTCCCACCTCAGCCTCCTGAATAGCACGTGCCACCATGCCCAGTTAATTTTTTAATTTTTTGTAAAGACGGAGTCTCACTGTAGTGCTCAGGCTGTTTTCAAACTCCTGAGCTCAAGCGATCTTCTTGCTTCAGCCTTCCAAAGTGCTGGCATTACAGACGTGAGCCACTGTTAAATTTTTTATATTCCTGTTACTGTGTGGATCTCTGTCCATGCTTTAACAGTCCAGATCCTTCAATACTTTTATTATTTGTCTCTTGCTTCAATAACTTTTAACTTTTTGCATTATGGGGAATTTTTAATATATAAAAGTAGACAAAATACATAGCATAATGAATACATGAATTGTAACCTATCCTTGATAACCATCATCCATGGCCAGTTGTGTCCCATCTCCTCCTCTCCTATCTTATTTTGAGACAAAAACCCCAATATCGTATTAAATGCAAATTTGGAAATAGATCACCTAGAAAAGACAACTTACTTCCTTTCTTAAAACAACAGTTATTAAAAGCTTGTTAAAAAATGAAAAAATAATGTCTGAACTTAAAATATATTAGTAAGTATGTAACATAATTAGAAACAATGTAGTTCTATTTGTAAACATTACTGATTTTTTAAAACAACCTTTTAGAAGCAATACAAGTTATTGTTTCTGTAGAACACTAATTAAATGAGTTAATAATTAAACCAAATGAGTTCCTTTACTCTTTGTTACTGTATTCCCATAATTTCCAGCAGTAGTCAGCCATCTGGACAGAACTATTCCTGGGATGGTGTTACACTGGTGGGAGAGGAATGTCTTCTCTTCATCCAGTTGCTTCTCACTGTTCTGGTAGAGTCTGGCACTGGGGCAAGGGAGAGCTGTGCTTCCTTGAGAGTGTGCTGAGCATTCACCTTGGCTGCTTAGTTCTAGTCTGGGAGCAGACACGTGGTGCTTTTTCTATGTATTCGAGTTAGATGGCTGCTGATTCCTTCTATTTAATTCTACTGTATATTCTGTACTTTGATATTCTTTGATCGTCTTTGACGTTTTAAGCATATGCTCCCCTCCCAAAAAGAATCTTTTAGAAGCTAGCTCTTGATAATTAACAGTGGCATTTTTTAAATGGATTAGTTTCTGTAAACCTCTTTATAAGATACATTCTAGGCTGTCATTCAAAGCCTTATATATATTTAATATGTAGTCATTATATTTTACATTCAATAATAAGAATTTTCCTATTGCCCAAAGTCTTGAAAGTTTTAACCTAATTTTCACTTCTATAGAGTAGAAATCATCCTTATTGAAATCTGAGCTATTAAGATGTATTTTAGAATTTAAAAACTTTGAGTCTAGGCTTGTTAAATAGCTATTTTTATTGTTTTTAAAGATTGCTAGAGAAACAATGATTCTAAATACAGATTCTTTCTCTTTCTGCCCTGGTAGGATTTTGAATATGGTGACTAGGCAAGGGGCACTTTGGGCTAATACTCTAGGTTCTCTGGGTAAGTAGAGATCTCGTTTGATAATAAATTGTTAACGTAAAGAAAGAATGTGCAAATATAATGAACAATTTGATCAGCCAATATTCTGATCCTAGGATCTGAAACAATTGTGTTTAAATCCATTCCAGTGCATAATGTACATAACTACTTAGGGAAAGACCATGAACTGACTTTTGAAATAATCTTAGATGCTAATATCATTCTGAATACCATTTCTGAATTTTTAAAATCTTTTGAACACTACATGCTCTCCTTTCCGAGCACAACGCCCAATAAAGTGATGTTTAAACTAAATGAAATCCAGATAATTTAGGTCCAAAGTAAAGAGCTTTGTATGTTAGGCAAGGTTCAAGGTCCTGTAGTGAGACATGATCAATTAATCCAGCCCTCTTGCTATGTTTTCTTAATAGCCTGTTCGTGAGTCTGTTTACCTGAGTAGATTTCAGGCATCTAATTGCTAGAATTAGAATAGGTTCTTTATAGATAATGAAAACATTTGTAGTTCTAGGCAAAAGGTAATTTAGTAGTGCTTAGTCAGAGCCTAATGCTTCCATACCTATTGCTTATGAATGATTGATGACTTGGATTAGATCTCTTATGAGTTATGCCCTGACATCCAGAATTTTCATACTTTATGAATTTAATTGAAAGTCTGAAAATCTCAATTTAAATTGTGGCAGATTAAGGAGGGGAAGACAAAGAAAACTCATTGAAAAGATAGAAAAAGTGTCTGTTATGGCAGAGTAAGATCCTTGCCTTGTCACAGGATTTGAAAACAGTACATCTTCATACCATAAAGCCAGTTTTCACATTTTGGATCCTAAGAGATGGCTGCTTTCATATGTTGCTGATGCTTGCATTTCTCCTACCCTTCTATAGAGTCACCCTCCTCTGTTCCTTTTAATTGTATATCTAGAGTAGTCAGCTGTCCTTGCTGCCTACGACTTAAGAAAAAAGGTCAAGAAACCCCTGACCCAATCCTGGACAAACTAGGATAACTGGTCACCCTCTGTGTACCCATTGTGGTATGATCAATAAAAGTGTTCTGCTCATGATCAATTTCAGTTAAATGAGTTGAAGAGAAAGATGAACTTTCATAGAAGTATAAAAATTATTTTTTCTTATGCTAGAAATAGGAGTGGGGGGGAGAGAGAGAGAGAGAGAGAGAGAGAGTGTGTGTGTGTGTGTGTTTTAATCCCAAGTACAACAATTATGGTAGCATATAAATGAAAATTTTAAATATTCCTCCTGAGACTTCCTAGCAGTACTTTCTAGAAATAGCTATTATTGATGTTTCTGTTGAATCCTTCCAGGCATTTCTCTGCATAGCCAGTCAGTCGTGTACCATGTGCATATGTCCCTGCTTTACTTATTAGTGAAAGTGACTCTTCTGGTTTTTAATTGACTATACAGTATTCCATTATATGAAAAGTCCCTTTCTGAATCAATTCAGATGATAAATGCTCTTGATGGGCATTTTATTTGTTGCTAGGTGTTCGCTATTAGAAACTGTTCTAGTGATCATTTCATGTATATCTTTGGATAAATTTATCTAAATATTGCCATACTGACTTTTTTTTTTGAGATGGAGTTTCGCTCTTGTTACCCAGGCTGTGGAGTGCAATGGCGTGATCTCGGCTCACCGCAACCTCTGCCTCCTGGGTTCAGGCAATTCTCCTGCCTCAGCCCCCCGAGTAGCTGGGACTACAGGCGCGCGCCACCACGCCCAGCTAATTTTCTGTATTTTTAGTAGAGATGGGGTTTCACCATGTTGACCAGGATGGTCTCGATCTCTTGACCTTGTGATCCACCCGCCTTGGCCTCCCAAAGTGCTGGGATTACAGGCGTGAGCCACTGCGCCCGGCCTGCCATACTGACTTTTGTGTGTTAAAAAAAAAAAAACAGTTCTTTCTCTGCTCTCACCCTACAACAGTCAACACAGGGACCAGATATGTGGGAATATTTCCCCACATACCAAGTAATCAGTTTTGCAGTGGACACCAGCTGGATGTCCTTCCAGTTCAGTTTTGCCTAGAGATAGCATCAGAACAGCAGGTTGAGGACTCTGTCACACAAGACTGAGCCCCATTTTGGATACTTCGATGCTGATAGCAACCCCCAGGTTATTTTACCTGTGTTTCTGACCAACCAGCTATGTCAGGGTTCCCACAGCCCCCTCTTTGGGTTCAATTAATTTATTATATTGGCTCACAGAACTCAAGGGAACACATACTTAACATTTGCCAATTTATTATAAACAGTTTTTTTTTCCTTGAGACAGGGTTTTGCTCTGTCTCCCAGGCTAGAGTATAGTGGAGCTCACTGCAACCTAGACTTCCTAGGCTTAAGCAGTCCTCCCACCTCAGTCTTTCAAAGAGCTTGGAACTACAGGCAACATGCATCACCATCCCAGCTAATTAAAACAAATTTTTTTTAGAGAAGTGATATCCCTATGTTGTTGCCCAGGCTGGTATAGACTCCTGGGTTCATGTGATCCTCTCACCTCAGCCTCCCAAAGTGCTGGGATTACAGAAACTTTATGAGCTGCCATACCTGGCTGGATATTTGTAAAGGATACAAATAAACAGCCCAGTCAAGGAATACGTAGATTGAGACGTGGATGAGTACAGGAGTATTCATTTCACTGGAGTTGGAGTGCACTGGCCTTCTGGCATGTGAATGGGTTCTTTCTCACTTTCTTGCAAGCCCCACGAGTTCAGCTGTCCAAAAAGTCCTCCAATCCCATCTTCTTGGGCCTCTTCTGGAGAATTGATTGGATACGTATAACTGAAGCATGAACAACCTTGTAGAATTGTGATTAGACAAAAAGGGCATGCTCTACTACTAATAGACTGGGTACAGAAACCCAGCAAGGCCTGTCTGCCCAGATTCTCCTTGGCCTTTCTGTGCAGCATTTCTTCTTTCTGGGTATGGGGTAGAATCTCTTCTGAAATGGGGTCTTATGGCCTACAATCAGACAAGGTAGGTCATAGAATTTCTTTATGGTCAGTTCCAATAAGACAGGTGGGGAAAGATTAGAGTCCTGCTATAAGGAGAAAAGGGAGCAGGTGAAAGGAGGACAGGAGATCATCAGAGAGAGAAATTCTATTTTCTGAGGCTGCTTCTGAGGCCTGAAGTGGCCCAACAATATAACAAAAGATTTTCGCCTTTGTCTCTAGGAAGCTATTCCAAAGCTGCTTCCAGAACCAAGGACAAATACCTTAACAAGTGATTGTTTTAGTCACTTAGGAAGGGCTATGGGAGTTATGAGCCAGGATCCATGGATGAAAACCAATATATGTATATGATAATACCATACTTAATCACTTCTTTTGTCACTGAGCACTTCCATTTCCTGTTTAGCTTTGCTCTATAGTGCATTTGGTGTCATTATTGAGAAAACACGAGGTGCAGAAGATGACCTAAACACAGTAGCAGCCGGAACTATGACAGGCATGTTGTATAAATGTACAGGTGAGTACTGTTGAATGGAAATACATCTCTTACTACACTTGAAGTCCACTTTTTTAAATTCATGGTTTTCGAGGAAACTACTCTGTTGCAGGATAGTCTAGTGTTCTAATCATATGGTTATTTTGGTTTGGTTTGTTTTTTTACTTGTGGTAAAATAGCCATCTTAACCATTTTTTAAGTATATACTACTTTAGTATTAATTATATTCACATCATTGTATAACCAATCTCTGGAACTTTTTCATCTTGGAAAACATACTCTCTACCTATTCAGCCTCCTTCCACTTTGCCCCTCCCCTTAGCTCCTGATAATGTTAAACTTTCTGTCTCTGAATTGGCTATTTTAGGCACCTCATGTAAGTAGAATCATACAATATTCGTCCTTTTGCAATTGGCTTATTTTACATAGCATAATATTCTCAAGGTTTATTCATGTTGTTGCATGTGCCAGAATTCTCTTCCTTTTCAAGGCTAAATAATATTCATTCTGTGTATGTATACCATGTTTTGTATGTACATTCTTCTATCAAGGGATGTTTAGGTTGCCTATACCTTTGGTCTATTGTGAATAATGCTGCTATGAATATGGATGTACAAATACCTCTTCAAGATTCTTCTTTTTTTTTTTCTATATACCCAGAAGTAGGATACTTGAATCATAGGGTTTGTGGTGGCTTTTTGACATTAGGAAGATAAGATTATTTTCCGTATTTTTTTATTCATTTTTTTTTTATATCTTGGATAGACTGGGCAATAGAGTATTCAAAATTATTGGTTTTGTTTTAAACAGTAATATGACCGACCTGTGACGTCAGCATATTGAACTATCGCAAGACACTCGCAAGGTCAAAGCCCAGAAATGACTGCCCCTTAAGTCAGTTTAGAGCCTCTTATTCCTATGATCATCTTACTCTACTGAGAGATCAACATGTTGCTGTCCAGGGTCAGATAATTCTCTTCTGTGATAAATTTTTACTAGTTTAGAAGCATACATTTAAGTAATACCTAATTTATTTTTTTATTAGGTTGATATACCTTTGGCTACTTAATTTTTATTTTATCAAAATAATCCACATACATGATTTTTTTAGGTCGAGGTTTTTGTCTTTTTTTCTTAACATCTAAAAGATTCTAATGATGTGCAACAATCTGTTATATGCCTCACCCTAATTCCCTGTTCCCAGTGGCAGCTATTTTAACTTTTTTGAATTTTTTTTTTTTAAAGACAGGGTCTCTGTCATCCAGGCTGGAGTGCAGTGGTACAATCAAGGTTCACTATAGCTTTGACCTCCTGGGCTCAGGTGATTCTCCCATTTCAGCCTCCTGAGTAGTACAGGCACATGCCGCCACACCCAGCTAATTTTTGTGTGTGTGTTGTTTGTTTGTTTGTTTGTTTTTTGCAGAGATAGAGTCTCATTATATTGCCCAAGCTGGTCTTGAACTCTTGGGCTCAAGCAGTCCTGCCTCAGCCACCCAAAGTGCTGGGATTACAGGTGTGAGCTACCATGCTCAGGCTGCTTTAATTCATTATTCTTTATTTTCATGTTTCTAAATAATAGTATTGTCTTGATTTTTCTTGACTTTTCAATCTTACATATTGTCTGCTGACTTAGTAAGAGGAAAGCTGTGTTAACTCCTGTAAGAATTGTACAAAATATTCTTAAAGTAGAAAGAAGGTCACATCCTTTATATAGGTCACTTCATTTACCATTCTCTGAAGGTAGTGGTCTGGTACTCCCTTGTTTCATAAACAAAGAAACTAAAATTCACACAAGTTAAATTACCTTCACATGCTTACACAGCTCTGTCATGGTCTAGTGCGTCAAACTCTAGTCTGAGTCCAAAGCCCATTGTCTTTGTCACCAAACCAAATTGCCTCCAGGAAAATCAGGAAAATTTCTAGAAAAGGGAAAGAGGTAGTAAATAACTGTTGAACTAGACCTTAAGGATGGACTGAATTGTCAGATGTATCTGTTTGATCATAAGATACATATAAGGAAGGTGTGGGAGAAAAGTCTGCAAAGATAGTTTAGGCTTATGGCCTGGAAAGCTAAGGTAAGAAGCTTAAAAGTAGACTGAAAGGCAGCTTGTCATCAAAGGTGTTTGGACAGTACTACAATTGTCTTTGAGGAAGATTAAGCTAGAAATAGTGAGTAGATAAGATAAATTGGAGGTAGAAGCCTAAAGTCAGAATGGTCAAGGAGAAGTATTATTACAGAAGTTGAAGAGATGGGATGGAAAGGTAGAAATGAAAGATGACTGGGTCACTAGAATACTGTTTACTGCTTGGTGGTTTCTTCTTTCTCTGTTTTGTTATATTGTGGAAGCAATATATGGCAATAAAATTCACAGTATATGTGACTTTCAGTAGCATAACAGTTAGCTGTCCTGGGCTCCCTTCCCACTGCCCCATTTATCCCTTACTTGTCTCTTCCAGGTAAGACTAAACTCACTAAAATATTTCTGTTTTTTTTTTAGAGTTGGGGTCTTGCTCTGTCACCCAGGCTGACGTGCAGTGGTGCCAGCATGGCTCACTACAGTCTTGAACTCCTGGGCTCAAGGGATCCTCCCACCTCAACCTCCCCAGTGGTTCAGACTGTAGGCACATGCCACCACACCTAGCTAATTTTTTTCAGTTTCTTTTTTTTTGTTTAGAAGTGGGATCTTGCTATGTTGCCCAGGCTGATGTCAAGCAGTCCTCCCACCTCAGCCTCCTGAGTTGCTGGATTACAGGTGTGAGCCACTGTGCCCAGCTTTTGGAATTGTTTTTGATTCCCAATGGTACTGTGTCCTTTTAGGACAGTTTTTTGCCACTGATTCTCAGTTGTTTAGGTGATTGCTTTTCTGTGGGTGGGAGAAATTGTCCTAGATTTCTTTGAGAATCTTATGAAAGTTTTAGAGAGTTTATAAACCCTGCATTAACAACTCAGTATATGTAGACTCTCTTTAGGAGAATTGTGAAGCTTATCTCTTTAGAAGTTTTATAAACACTGTGATGCTTATGATTAAATGAAAGTGCTGGTATTTAGAAGGTAACAATCAAAATCCAATTAAGCTAAATTCTTTAAAGAGGTTCTGCCTTCTTGTTGATTTGCTCCCTTGCCACTTTGATGACTTCAGATTCTACTACTCTTCCCATTGTCTTCTATCTCCCACTTCACAGCCTTCTTGCTGTTACCATTTCCTAGAATAGTATTTCCAGACACCTACCTCACATGCTGCATCATTGTCCATCTTTGTTCAGATACCACCTTTTATTTGAGGCTTCCCTTAAACACTGTAGTACACACAGTTTTGCACATACATTTTAGTTGTAAGATAAATTGCTAAAAATTAAATTACTTGAGTAAATAATCTGCATGCTTAAAATGTGAATGACTAATGCCAAGTGGCTAACCTTTGCCGGGATTGTTCATCTATCATCACTTTTTAAAAATTTTATTTATTTATTTATTTATTTTGAGACGGAGTTTTGCTCTCGTTACCCAGGCTGGAGTGCAGTGGCGCAATCTCGGCTCACTGCAACCTCCGCCTCCTGGGTTCAGGCAATTCTCCTGCCTCAGCCTCCCGAGTAGCTGGGATTACAGGCATGCGCCACCATGCCCAGCGAATTTTTTGTATTTTAGTAGAGACGGGGTTTCACCACGTTGACCAGGATGGTCTCGGCCTCCCAAAGTGCTGGGATTACAGGCTTGAGCCACCGCGCCCGGCCTCATCACTTTTTTTTAAGCTAGTAGGTGAACAGTTTTAATGTTTTACTTCGCTTCGTCCTGGTTGTTTATGAGATTGAACAGCTTTTATTGTTTAGTGGTTAGTGGTATACCCTTTCTCTATTTTTTATCATATTGTTGATTTAACTGATTTGTTGGAACAGTTTATATATTATGGCAGTTAGTGCTTTGTCTATTACATATTTTACGTGAATTTTTACTTCCTGGAAAAATGTCGATGCCAGTAGTAGAAATGTAGAAGGCATCAAGAGGTTCTTTTTGGTATGTGAAGACTAATTCTCAAGGCCTTGTATTCAGTTTAGACATTGATAAATAGAACCTCTTAACAATAACCTTAATGAACAATTACCTAATTTGAAGAACTGGATTTGTATATATGTATATTTTACCTTAAATGACTTTGCTTTTAAGCTGACTTTCTTATAGAAGGAAGACATAAGATTAATAGTTCAGGATTTTTTGGAGAGGAAGGGATTGCCTATATCTTTTTGTTTCTGATTACTTATTTTGAAAATATGTGATACGGCTACCCTAAAATTCCCAAGCTTATGATGATAGCAAAGCTACAGCTGTTTCTGTTTGAGTAGAATACTGGTTATTAAATAGATTCTCATATGTCATAGGGAATCTAATGACATTGCACATTTTTGGAGAAAATTTATGTAATTCATTAAATAAGTAGTAGACCTGAATTCAAATCACATAAATCATCAGAGTTCTACCTTTAAATTAGCCTTTTTGGGCCGGGCACGGTGGATCACCTGAGGTCAGAAGTTTGAGATCAGCCTGGCCAACACGGGGAAACCCCATTTCTACTAAAAATACAAAAATTAGATGGGTGTGATGGCAGGCACCTGTAATCCCAGCTACTTGGGAGGCTGAGGCAAAAGAATCGCTTGAACCCAGGAGGTGGAGGTTGCAGTGAGCTGAAATCGCGCCACGGCACTCCATCCTGAGTAACAGAGTGAGACACTGTCTCAAAAAAATAAAATAGGCTGGATGCAGTGACTCATGCCTGTAATCCCAGCACTTACAGGAGGCTGAGGCAGGCGGATCACTTGAGGTTCAGGAGTTCAAGACCACCCTAGCCAGTGTGGTGAAACCCCATTTCAACTCAAAATACAAAAATTAGCTGGATGTGGTGGCACACGCCTGTAATCCCAGCTACTCGAGAGGCTGAGGCAGGAGAATCACTTGAACCTGGAGGCAGAGGTTTCGGTGAGCAGAGGTTGTACCTCTGCACTCCAGCCTGGACAATAGAGCGAGTCATTGTCTCAGAATAAAATAGGATAAGAATTAATTAATTAGCCTTTTTGATCTGATAGCTGCCAATTTTTTTCTCATGATCTTTCTATTAAAATAGCTCTGTACCTACTATGTTGAGGCTCCTTTTTCTTTTTTTTTTGAGACAGTCTCAGACTAGAGTACAGTGATGTGATCATGGTTTACTGTCACCTCTGCCTCCTGGATTCAAGTGATGCTCCCGTCTCAACCTGCCAAGATGCTAGGACTACAGGCACCTGCCACCATGCCTGGCTAATTTTTTTGTGTTTTTTGTAGGGACGGCGTTTCGCCATGGTGTCCAGGCTGGTCTCGAACTCCTGCGCTCAAGCAGTCTGCCACACTGGCCTCCCAAATGTTGGGATTACAGGTGTGAACCACCACACCCAGCCAGCCCCCCTGTTTTTTTAAATTTCTGTATTTAAGAGTACATTGGGGGTTGGAAGTAGTTTAGGTCAACAGGGATTAGCCATTCCCTAAATGTAAACTTCTTCACTGGTGCTATACTTAGAGTTCCTAAGATCCTTTCCAAATTCATGAATCTGGAAGTTGAAGTTATATTTGTATTCACACCACAAAAAATTTCTGTCTGTGCCCTGTCATCTTGGGTTTATTATAAACCACAAATTAAGACATTGATTTTCCTTTCTTAGAGTGATTTCAGTATTTTGAGTTATTAAGACAGAAAATGTGAGCCCATGTTGGAATTCTGGGTCAGGAGGTTATTTACCTCTGTTCCACAATTGCAGTGGAAATTAAAGTCTACTTGTCACATGACATAGAATTAATGCGTATTCTTTTTTGCTTTTACTCTTCTGAGCCCAGGAGCTTTCTTTTCATAATTTATGTTGGAGGTGTTCTGGACTATGTTATTACTGCAGAAAGTTAGACTCCCATTTCTTTTGATATCACATAATCAGCCTCTTCCTCTCTGTATTACAAATACATATAATATGCCTTAGGTGCTGACTCATTACATCCTTACATTCAGGGCTGTCTTTAAGGAAGTACCATAGTGGCTTCCCTTGTGTAAGAAAAGTGAGTGGAGGGGGCTAAGCTGGAGCTTCCATGCCTATGTGTTGGGCTAGAAGCATCTCCCATTCATTTCCAGCCATTTGCCACTCTCCATAATTAGTATTGTTCATTTATTCAGAAGAAGCTAGATTCCACATTTTTATGTGAAATCTCCTGTTTTTAGAATACTTGATCTTTTTCAATGTAATTTGGCCCAGCAAACTCTTGCTGGCTTGAGTGCTACCTTTGTGCTGCCAGTTGAAGTTTAACATTTGTCTAACCCTAAAGCCTTTCAACGTGAAATTATTTTTTGGTTCTTAACAAGGTTTTTGTATGCCAAGGTAAAATTTTCAAGGGCATATAAGGTATTTACCGTCTCACTCAGAGTTCTGTTTAAGTGAGCACATAGGCATGCATGTCGGAGAAAGCATTGTGAGCTCTTATGGATAAAATTTGAAATGCATCCTATTTTCGATAGAAAAAAGCCTCTTACTCTCACATATCTCAGAAAAACTTAGATCTTACAATGCTTTTGAGACTTAAGACGCTCAGGTCTGTAGAGTAAAAATGCTACCTGATATTTGTGGTGGATGAATTACCGAAAAACAAAATTACTCCGCTAATCAGGTGTCTCATGTGTAATATGCCAACCTAACAAAAGAAAGCTGCCTTTCGGAGGCAAGAATATAGAACATATGTAGTTTATTATAAAGCAGAAATGTTATGAAAAATTTGGAAATATTTGTCACTAGCTGTATGACCTATTGAAAAAGGTCCTCTTAATACTGTGCTCATCTATAAAATGGGTGTATGATGACTCTCACTTTCCAAGGTTGTGATGCATTTTAAATGAAACAAGTTTCATTAAGTGCTTATTGCTGAAGACACAATTCAGTGAATGTTGCTTTTCTTAGAGCAGGATTTGGTATTTGATCTTTGCCTAAGCCATGTTGATTCAGTTCTTAAAGCAAGTTGAATGGTACCCATGTTCATAACAGCATATTATTCACAACAGCCATACAGACTGGGTGTGGTGGCTGATGTCTGTAATCCCAGCACTCCGGGGGCCAGTGTGGGTGGGTTGTTTGAGTCCAGGAATGCAAGAGCAGTATGGTGAAACCCTGTCTATACAAAAAAATTAGCCAGGCACGCTCAAGATTATTTTAACTTGAGTGTGCATTGCTTTCCAATCATTGTTTTTCAACCACGTTGAATACAGTTGGAAGTTTAAACTGCTGTGCCTATGGTCTAAATGTGGCAAGTTCACAAAGAGATGATGTGAACTTCAAGGAGATACCTCATATTATACTTTTAGAGGGGTTTTTCTGGGTTTTTAAAAAATGTTTTTGGTCCCCCTACACGTTTGACGGCTGTTTATAGATAATGTCTGCAGTTTCTGTTTGAGAGAGATAATTATGACATTTAGCATTGGAGTGTAAGCAGGTCAGCTATCAGAAGTCTTCAGACTGGAGAGATTCCTGGAGGGGGAGTGGCCCTTTAATCCATCAGCTGAAGCCATCTGGTAGGACACTCGTTGCGGAACTGGTTAGTTCTGAAGTGTTCTAACTCAGCAACATCACTGAATGTCACATAATTGACAGGCATGGAGCTAGAGGGCCTCTAGACACCCCACATGTCTGTTCTACCTTTGTCTCCCTAATATACACATGGAACAAATACATTGTAGGTACAGAGATGGCTACCTGCAGTTTATGATCCCTACTCATAGAGCTGCATGAGGACATCACATTTTTTTAAAAGCTTCCTTGGGTACCCCCATTCCTGAGGAGTTTCTTAGCTTGGTTTCCCTTTGCCACATAACATTTAAGACTTGACATTTTAAAACCATAAGCAGTTAGGGCATTTTTGATTTTTAGATATGTATTTGTAGCTGCTTCTTAGACTTGGGGACTGTTTTTAAGTAACTGAAACATTTTTGTTTCTCCATTGCAATTGAAATCCCTGTTGCTAATCTTTTGCCACAAGTAAAATTGTTCACTTATTTTCAAGCAGGTAGTTCAATGTCTAATTCTTGAATTCTTTTCAACTAGTGTGATGCTAGGTGTCCCTCACTACTTATTGTGGGAGATGGATGCATCAGTGCAGGAATTGGGGGGGGGGGGGCACTAGCACCTAACTCAAAGTGTGGTTAGAGCCTTTTTTTTTTTTTTTTTTTTGAGACAGGGTCTCACTCTGTCACCCAGGCTGGAGTGCAGTGGCATAATCTCAGTTCACTGCAGCCTCAACTTCTGGGCTCAAGCAATCCTCCTTACCTCAGCTTCCCAAGTAGCTGAGACCATAGGTGCATGCTACCCCACCAAGCTAATTTTTCTATTTTTTGCAGAGACCAGGTTTTGCCTAGGTTGTTCTCAAACTCCTGAGCTCAAGCCTGCCTCAGCCTCCCTAAGCACTGGGATTACAGGTGTGAGCCACCACACCTGGCCATCACTACTTCTTGAATCTTCAAGGTTAATATTTGGAGGACCCATCCAGAGTCCAAAAGTTAATACTGTTTCCAAATAGGGTGTCACCTTGTTTACATTATAGCCTTAAATCCATTGATAGTGCTAGTGGAGTTCTAAATCATGTTGCCAGCAGGAAATGATTTTTCTAGTTGGAACTCCAGTAATAAACTGCCACAGGAACAAGTTTGTGAATCTGAAAATGTCAAGCCATATGTATTATGCAAGTGGTTTGGGGAATTATTGCCTGAAGTCTTCGTTTCTTGTATTAATTTAAAAACTCAATCTCCTTTTTGAGATGGAATATTAATTATTTAAAAAACGGTCTCTCCCAGCCTGACCAACATGGTAAAACCCTAGCTAATACAAAAATTAGCCGGGTGTGGTGGCACGCGCCTGTAATCCCAGCTACTCAGGAGGCTGAGGCAGGAGAATCACTTGAACCCGGGAGGTGGAGGTTGCAGTGAGCCAAGATGGCACCACTGTACTCCAGCCTGGAAGACAGAGTGAGACTTGGTTTCAAAAAATAAAAAAAGGTCTCTCTTTATTTCACAGTACTTTTTTTTTTTTAAACAGAGTCTCACTTGTCTCCCTTGTCAGCCCATTTCACAGTACTTTTTATTTAACCCTTCCATGCTAGGGTACTATGCAGTACACAGCTGTTTCATTTTCCTTTTGCCTTCTTTTCCCAGGTGGTCTTCGAGGGATAGCACGAGGTGGTCTGACAGGACTAACACTTACCAGCCTCTATGCACTATATAATAACTGGGAGCACATGAAAGGCTCCTTGCTCCAACAGTCACTCTGAAGATTTTACCAACTCATGAATGGAGGACACTTCAGTAGACATCTAGACCATTTTATAAGTCAGACTGGAGTTATTCTCTCTTCTACCCTATAATTAGTTTGAAAAATTAGAGATTTTGATTCGCTATGATGAAAATCTTGGATGGTTGACCAAGACTGGCACTCGTTCCAGCTATTAGCGAGTTGAAGCCAAAGCCCTTTGGTGACTCACTGAGCAACGTGGTTCTCTTCTCCTTTGGAGAAGATCTTGCACATATCTGTTCTTCTCCCCCATGAACTAGAAAACCACTTACTCCCAGAATTCAATTCGTGCTTGTCAGTATTGTATCACCAAGTCTGTTCATTTAATGATCCAAAACTGTAATGCTGCACTGTATTCCAAATAAAGGGTAAAAACAGAACCAAAGTTCTAACTCCAACACACAAATATAGTGGTTGTCTCCATTTAAAAGTATCTACCTGGGTATAAAATGAAAGGTCCTCTTGGCATTTTCTGCCCATATTAAGGCAAAACAACATTTTCATGTTTGTGTTAAAATGAGCTACTGTTGGCCAGGTGTGGTGGCTGGCCAATCCCAGCACTTTGGGAGGCCAACATGGGCAGATCACCGTAGGTCAGGATTTCAAGATCAGCCCAGCCAACATGGCGAAACCCTGTGTTAACTAAAAATACCAAAATTAGCTGGACATGGAGAAGTGTGTCTGTAACCCCAGCTCCTTGGGAGATAGCTGAATGTAGTCGAGTCTGGAGAATCGCTTCAACCCAGGAGGTGGAGGCTGCAGTGAGCTGAGATCATGCCTCTGTACTCCAGCCCAGGTGACAGAGCTTAACTCTGTCTCAAAAAAGAAAAGAAAATTAGCTACTGGTGACATTCACCAGTAGAGAGATGTGAAACTGTCTCTCAAGATATTTGAGGTTAAACATTAGACTGGCATGCTAGAACAATCCAACCATCTTGCTTAATTCCATACATATTAACTCCTTACTAGGAATAATTAAAAGCTAGATGTTTTTCAAGGACGCTTTAGGAAAGCTAAAGGTCATGAGGCCAAATTGTTTAATTTCTGAGTTTTCTCATCCATAGTATGAAGTTAATGAGGAATCCAGTAGAAAGGCACTGAGTTCTAGCTGAAGTACCATAGGTTTTTTTTTTTATAGATGTGAATAGGTTTCATAAAAGACTAAAAGTTTAATTGTTTGCTAATTTAAAATTTCATAAAGTACAATAATGTTATTTTTATGTTCAAGCTTTTTCTCAGATGTATTCCTAACCAAAAGTTACTGCATTTATATAACACCACATTTTGTGAAAATAGTTTTACAGATAACATGCAACAACTATGGCTGTTATGCTTTTAATGGAGGCAGATACAAAATTCATCAATGCAAAAGAATGTTTTACATACTCATTAACATAGTGATTAATGTAAATTATATTTTGACAATGTAAAATACAGTGTATTTGGCCTCAAAAAAGAAACTACAGAATTAGCTGCAACTTAAGAAAACTGAAAGGCTCCTTATGTTGTTTTTGCCCACCACCTTTATTGTAATAGTTCGAAGTGATATCTGGGGAGGGAATTAAGAAATAATACAAAGCTCTTTCCAGCTGTGGTTCAAAGAACTCTAGTGAAGCTGTATGGCAATGATATTGTGGGACCATGAAGTTTCCCCAGAAGTATTTCCAATAACAGGCAGTTAAGAAGCTTAATAGTTTCAAAGTCTGGAAAGCAGCAAAGATATCTAGAGAATTTAAAAACATTATAAACCCCACTTCTCTCCTACAGAGACATTTTAAAGCATGGGCATAACTTTAAGGAGACTGAGAAAACAGTACTTTTCATAAAGCTTCAATGAACACCCCAAGGCACAAGTGTTGAAAACAGCCTAGTCACTAAAACATCACCTTTGGAGGTACAGGTGTGCTGTGCTTGCAGGAGAAGGACGACTGTATCCCTAGTTAAAAGCACCAGGTGTCAAGCTCAGCTTCCATTTACACAGGATGCACCAATATAGTGAATAGTTCAAGTACTATACTACATTTCCAACATGTCTTTGCCTATTTGCCTAGTTGGCACTGGGGTTCTTTTAAACCCCGTAGGTCTATAGAATATTTTAAAAGGCTAGAACGACCTCAAAATAGTCTTGAAATAATACTGAACCCTTCTAAAAGAGCTCACAGGATATTTTAGTAACATTTACAGAAAGAACATTTGCAGTAGCTGAGTTTCAAGTGAATAGTAATGTAGAACATTTAGGCTAAAATGTTGGGTAATGTCAAAAATTGCCAAGATTATTAATACGTATTTTGATAATCACTATTAGCCAGGTTAATTTTTTGTGCAAAATACACTATATATTGATAGAGCAGGAAAATCATTATTTCATACCACTAACAAGAAAACCCACAGCAAGAGAAGCATCTATAGGGCAATTAGATGTTAGGGAAATTTGCTAGCTTTAGAATATATCAATATACCTCGATTACAGAAATACTTCATTTTTAAAACCAGAGTGAGTGTTTTCATGTACTTTTGGTAACGATCCAATCTAAGGAGCCTTGGAGGCTTGTGAAAAAGATGTATCCACAAAGATGCTGCATTTCTAGTGTGGGAGTAAATTAACACTTCTGTAAGAAGGAAGGAACTGAATCACCTCAGCATCAATAAACGTCATTTTCTTTTAAACAGTAACTCATAAATCTGATGAGTTACTTTGTTTTACTAGTTCAAAATTAGGTGAGAGAAGAAAGAACCAAGCTAATTGGTCAGACCCAGAAACACAATGATTTGGCAAGCCGCAGTCACCCAGCTCATGATGTGTGATAACTGGCAGAAAGGCGGTTCAACTCTTGTCTTCACATCTGTAAAGAGACACCCACGGATAAGTTATTCACTGGAGAATAAAAGCAAATTTTCCCTTCCTTAAAGCTCTGACTCATTTCCCAACACAGGCATACCTTGTTACATTTTTTACAGATTGAGGGTTTGTGTCATGAACTGTGCTCATTAAAGATGGTAAACTTTTCATTAATATATGTCTTGAATGCCCACCAAAAAGCCTTTCCCCATTTCTCTTCCCTCTACTCAGGCCTCCCTATTCCCTGAGACAAAACAAGATTGAAATTAGGCTAATTAATAGCCTACAATTGCATCTATGTGTTCAACTAAAAGGAAGAGTCTCCATCTCTTACTTTATTTAAATTGAAAGCCAGAATTGATTAAACTTAGTGAGAAAGTCATGTTGAAGGCCAAGACAGGTTGAAAGCTGGGCAGGCTTTTTGCATTAGCCAAGCTGTGAGCACAAAGTCAAAGTTTTTGTTTTTTGTTTAGCTTCAAATTCTGTGGATGAAAAGTTCTTGAAACTAGAAGTGCTACTCCAGTGAACACAAGAATGATTTAAAAAGCAAACAGACTTATTTCTGATATGGAGAAAGTTTTAGTGGTCTCGATAGAAGATCAAACTAGTCACAACATTCCCTTAGGCCAAAGCCTAACCCAGAGTAAGGCCCTAATTCTCTTTAATTTTATGAAGGCTGAAAGAGGTAAGGAACCAGAAGTTATGTTTGAAGCAAGCAGTGGTTGATTCTGTTTAAGGAAAGAAGCCATCTCCATAGCAAAAATGCAAAGTGAAGTGGCAAGTTATCTAGAAGACCTAGCTAAGATAACAGATGAAGGTGGCGACACTCAACATTTTCAGTGCAGACAAAACAACTTTCTATTGGAAGAAGTAGTCATCTACAACTCATAGCTAGAGAGATAAGTCAATACCTGTCTTCAAAGGACAGGCTGACTCTCGTTAGGGACTAACGCAGCCGGTAACTTTTTTTTGGAAATGGTCTCGCTCTATCAACCAGGCAGGAGTGCAGCAGAGCTATCATAGCACACTGCAGCCTTGACCTCCCAGGCACAAGAAATTCTCCCACCTCAGCCTCCTGCGTAGCTGGACTACAGGCATGCTTCACCATACCCAGCTAATTTGTTAATTCTTTTACAGACAGGGTCTCTGTATGTTGCCCACACTGGTCTTGAACTCCTGGGCTCAAGCAATCTTCCCATCTCCACCTCCCAAAGTGCTCAAATTGCAGGCCTGAGTCAATGGTGGCTATGTTGAAGCCAGTGCTCAATTACTATTCCAAAAATCCTAGGGCCCTTAAGAATTATGCTAAATCTACTCTGCCTGTGCTCTATAACAAAGCTTGGATGACAGTGCACCTGTTTACAGCATGGTTTACTGAATATTTTAAGCCCTCTGTTGAGAACTACTGCTCAGAAAAAATATTCCTTTCAAAATACTACACTCATTGACACTGCACCTGGTCACCCAAAATCTCTGATGGGGATGTAAAAGGAGATTAATGTTTTTATGTTTGCTAATACCACATCCAGTTTGCAGCCTATGGATCAAGGAGTAATTTCAACTTTCAAGTATTATTTAAAAAATACATTTTTTTAAGGCCCTAGGTACCTATGTTCCTCTGATGGATCTGGGCAAAGTAAACTGAAAACCTAGACAGGATTGATGCCAGTAACACTATCATGATACATGAGAGGAGGTCAAAATATCACATTAACAGGAGTTTGAAAGAAACTGATTCCAACCCTCATGGATGGCTTGGAGGAATTCAAGACTTCAGTGGAGGAAGTAACTGCAGATGTGGAAACAGCAAGAGACCTAGAATTAGAAGTGGAGCCTGAAGATGTGACAACTGCTGCAATCTCATGATCAGACTTAAACAAATGAGTAGTTGCTTCTTATGGATGAGCAAACAGTGATTTCTTGAGATAGAATCTACTCCTGGAGGGCGGGTGCGGTGGCTCACGCCTGTAATCCCAGCACTTTGGGAGGCTGGGAGGGCAGATCACAACATCAGGAGTTCAAGACCAGCCTGGCCAATGTGGTGAAACCCCGTCTCTAATATAAAAATTAGCTGGGCATGGTGGCATGTGCCTGTAATCCAGCTACTCAGGAGGCTGAGGCAGGAGAATTGCTTGAACCAGGACCCAGGAGGCAGAGGTTGCAGTGAGCCGAAATCACACCACTGCACTCCAGCCGGTGCGACAGAGCAAGATTCCATCTCAAAAAAAAAAAAAAAATCTACTCCTGGAGAAGATGCTGTGTACATTGCTGAAGTGACAACAAAGGATTTAGAACATTACATAAACTTAGCTGATAAAGCAGCCACATGGTTTGACTCCAATTTTGAAAGTTCTACTGTGGATAAAATGCTATCACACAGCAGCACATGTTACAGAGAAATATTTCATGAAAGAAAGTCAATCAATGCAGCAAACTTCATTATCTTATTTAAAGAAACAGACACAGCCATCCCAGCCTTCAATGAGCTACTATCCTAATCAGTCAGCAGCAATCAACATCAAGGCAAAACCCTCCACTAGCAAAAAGATTACATGTTAATGGCTCAGATGACCATCAGCATTTTGTTATAATAAAGTACTTTTTAATTGAGGTATGTACATTGTTTTCTTAAGACATAATGTTATTGCAGACTTAGCAAACTACAGTGTATTATAAACAACTTTTATATGCAATGGGAAAACAAAGTATTTGTGTAGCTCACTTTATTGGGATATTTGCTTTATTGCAGGGGCCTGGAACCAAACTCACCTTTGAGATAGGTCTATAAGCTACTAGAATCCACATGGGATCTGAAAATTCCCAAAAGTTACATCTTGAAAGTTCACTTTGAAGTATGCCTAGTTAGTTCATAAAGCAAATTCAATTAAAATACATGAACTTTTTATGAGCTCCCCCTGTCCCACCCTCACTTGCCTAACATACATACTATTAAAAGGGATATGGTTCAATGACCCAAGTACGACTTCATATGTAAGACAAAACATTTATAAATAGCTATAATCTGTAATTCCCATGCTGGTGGCATGTACCCACCTGTAGAGGAGTTCGATATAACCACTTCTCTTTATCAACTTTAAGCTGCATACAGGCAAAGAGATCGCAAACTGCAGGGAGGCCGTAATGGTCTGGGGGGAACTTACGTTCCTCCTGTAGAGGTGAATTAAGTAATACTTCCTGCAATACAAGAAAAGAGGCTGCTTCATGGAAACTAGGAGGCATGAGACCAACTTTTTTTCCATAAAGGGTCTATAGAGAATAATTTAAATGTTGGCCATTTTCTCTAACAACCAAAAACAAAGGTGACAATTATTTCCACCCCAAATATTTGCCATAAATAGCAGTAGAACAGGCTAGATTCTTTTCTTTCCTGAAGGATGGGGCTTAGTCCTGAAAAATGCACAGAACAAAACCATACATCCTTCACTCCAAATTTAGTATTTGACATATTCAACGATCTGGCCGGTTTGCAAGGTTTGGGATTATGAAATATAAAACTCTAAGCCAGGTGTGGTGGATCATGCCTGTCATCCCAGCAGTTCAGGAGGCCAAGGCAGGCAGATCGCTTGAGCTCAGGAGTTCAGGAGACCAGCCTGGGCAACATGGTAAAACCCCATCTCTACCAAAAATGCAAAAAAACTGGCCAGTCACGCCTATGGTCCCAGCTACTTGGGGGGCTGTGGTGGCGGGGAATGGCTGGAGCCCGGGAGAGGGAGGTTTCAGTAGCCAAGACTGCACCACTGCACTCCAGCCTGGGTGACAGAGATTCCCATCTCAAAATAAACAAATAAAAATAAAACTCAGAAACTGCTATTTTGATGTTTATGCTCACCTGGGCCTTCTTTCGAAGCAGCCACTTGTCTTCTCCAGAGGATAACTGGCTGACGTTGCCCATCTTTTTTCCTGGCAGGACCCAGTCTGCTGTATTAAAGGGACACCAGAAAGTGCTCATGGGGCTTTTAAGCTTTTGTTTACCAGCTCTGTCTTCAGTACTAGGCACTTCCTTGGGACTTCCTTCTTTGTTTAGAGGCCTGATAAGCCACTCCGACAAGGGGCTGTTCTTTATGACTTGGAAGGAATCAGCAATTCTAGAAGGAACCATTGCCTTTGGTGCTTTAGGTTGTTCTATTACTTCTTTTCTAGAAGGACAGAGCCACATATTCAGGGAATCTTTATGCTTCTCAGGCTCAGGTTTGGGTTCCATGGGCATCCCATTTTTATCCTTTCCTTCTTTCTTCAGAAGCCATTTATACAGAGCCTCCTTCTCACAATTCTCATCACACACACACTCTGCAAAGCTTGTGCAGGGCTCATTGGCTCTGCACACCTCCTCTACCTTACATGGGTCCTGACGGTTCTGGACAAGCCAATCCTCTGTAACCACACTGGTGGTGGACAATGGTTTCTTGGCCTCCAAGTGGTCATTCAGGCACTTCAGATTGCCCAGGTTTTCAATCTCTACACCTTTGGGCTGGTTTCCCTGACAGTTGGTACAGGAGTCAGTCTTGACAAGCCAATCATTCACATTATAGGACTGGAACAAGAGCTTAAACTTCTCACTGATTTCATGACTGCCATTCTCAGGCTTCCCCAGCTTATGGGATTCCTGGGGAGTCACCAGCCAATCTGATAAGTCCATCTTATCTTGATCGGGAAGCTCTAGATCTTCAACCTTTTCCATTTCAGTGGAGAAAGAACCAGCAGTAGAATGGCTGTTACACTTTTGGTAACTTGGTTTTTCAGGAACTTCCTGTTGCTGACTCTTGAGGAGCCAGTTTTCTAAGTCCTTTAGGTTTCCCCAGACATTACTGAAGAAATTGCAGGCTCTGGAAGAAGTCTACACAAAAAGTACACAGTATTAGTTTGGCAAAATAATGATGACTGCTTTGGAGATTCTGTCTGCATATTTACTGTCTTGCCCAGTGTTTTAAAATTTAAGTACACAAAGCCAAAAGGCAAGGTATTTCTCTGTTTAGATATCTTACCTGATAGAAAAGGGCTAGTATCTCTGTGTAATATGCCTTTACAAATAAAGAATGCAAAAAATGGGCAAAGGATATGATCAGGCAAGTCACAAAAGAAGCCTAATAAACATGAAAATACTCAACCTCCTTACTAATGGAAGAACAAACAAAAGCGAAATTCTATTTTTTGTCAAATTCAGACAAAAAATCCTAAATGATTATTACTCTTAGGCTTCAGGGAAGCAAGTACTCTAATATTCTCCTGGTGAAACTATACACTGCTGGCAACTTCCTGGAAAGCCAAATTGGCAGTATGTATCCAAAGCCTTAAAGGGTATGCAAACTGCATCTAGGAATGCACTTTCTAGAAATGTACTCCTAAGGAACTAATCAAGAATGTACACAAATAACTGGCTCCTGGATGTTTAGGGAATCCTTGTTTCTATCAAAAGAAACCTGAATTTAAATTACAGCCAATCAATGATATACTACTAAATACTTTATAGAAGAAATGACAGAGAAATGTTACCACTATACTGGTGAAAAAAATCTACTCACCAAAACAGGACTTACAGAATGATTCTTTTAAAATATATATGTATAGAAAACGGAAGTATATAAACGCTTAACTTTCATTGTTACAGTGTTTTTCTTTGTGTTGAGATTATGAGTTTATGAGCTTTTCTTATGTAAAATTATTTTTAAAATTTTCTATGATAAAGAGTTCTTTATTTTCTAAACTTTCTATGATGAAGAGACTATTAATAAATGTTTACAGACTGCAGCCAAAAACTTAACAAAGACACATGCTACTCATTAATAACTAACCCCATCTACTGCTGTGTCTACTGTAGAAACAATAAAAGCAGCAACAGACCTGACTATTCTCCAAGGTCTGCTTTTGGGTGAGCCAGTCCTGGGGGTTGGTGCTGGATATGTAAGGAGCCTGAGAGCCACTGGCAGGTTTGCTTCCAAGGAGCCATTCGCTGAGAGGGACAGCTGCAATACTGGATGCTGACTTCTGTTAATCACATAATACTTTGCTGCTTAACAAGGAATGTCAAAGGCAGTAGAAAGTTCACCAGAAAAAAGAGCAGCTCTCTAATCTTGGCTTGCAACTGATTCTGGGCAAGTCATGTGCCTTCCAGAGCCTCAATTTTCACAATTATAAAACAAGAGACAGCTGGTATCTAGGGAGTTTCTCAACTAAAACATCTAGAATCCTTTATTCATATTGCCATTCCTTTTAGAAATATATCATCTCTACAAAGTATAAAGAGGATCCCTCAAAGAGAGCCAGTATCAATAAGACAGCTAATGAGAATTTCCTATGAACTGACTGATAATAACTTTATCTGTTAATCAGCCCCTAAAGACATCTAAATTTCTATTTGGCATGCAGTCTCAAGGAAAGCATTCAATTTCATAAACTAACTCACTGCCACTGGTACTTATTCACAAATAGTAGCATTTTTTAATGCTATATAAAACCCAAATGAAATATAAGGCAAGTAATGACTCAATTACCAGAAACAAAATGATACTTTACCTGCTCTGGCATTGGGATATAGCCTCTCTTCTCCAGGAAGGGCCCAATATTTGATGAACTAGCATGAGCCATCAAGTGCTCAGGAATTTGCTATGAAAGAGACAATTTAATCATATTATTTATACTGTGCTACCAAAAAAGTGAAATTATAATTCAAAATTTCAAAAGTGTTAAAGCATTACCATTTCATTAGAAACATCAATCACAGTAAATCCCATGACTTACAAAGTAGTTATCAAATTTGAGAGTACTCACCATGTAAATATCATATAAAAAATCTTTACCGGCTGGGCAAGGTGGCTCATGACTGTAATCCCAGCACTCTGGGAGGCCAAGCTGGGCAGATGACCTGAGGTTGGGAGTTTGAGACCAGCCTGACCAACATGGAGAAACCCCGTATCTACTAAAAATACAAAATTAGCTAGGCGTGGTGGTGGTGCATGCCTGTAATCCCAGCTACTCGGGAGGCTGAGGCAGGAGAATCACTTGAACCTAGGAGGTCGGAGGTTACGGTGATCCATTACAGTGAGCTGAGATTATGCCATTGCACTACAGCCTGGGCAACAAGAGTGAAACTCTAAAAATCTTTACCAGAATTGGTTGTATTACCATTTTTAACAAGACTCAAATGTTTGGTTCTTTATTAAAAACTATTCAAACCATAAATTTTACAAAAAATATATCGAAAGCATTTAGAGATATACATGAGGTATTCCAAAGACTATCACTGAGTTGACTATATTCCAGGGACTACCAATCTAGGCAACTTAATCAGAACATAATTTTTTTTTATAAAGGCTGAGTCTTACTCTGTAGCCCAGGTTAGAATGCAGTGGCACGATCTCAGCGCACTGCAACCTCTGCCTTCTGGGTTCAAGCAATTCTCCTGCCTCAGCCTTCCAAGTAGCTGGTATTATAGGCGCCCACTGCCACACCCAGCTAACTTTTTTGTATTTTTAGTAGAGACAGGGTTTCACCATGTTGGCCAGCCTGGTCTCAAACTCCTGACCTCAAGTGATCCGCCTGCCTCGACCTCTCAAAGGATTACAGGCATGAGCCACCATGCCCAGCCAAGAACATGAAATTTTTGAAGCTAATAAAATTCTCAAGAAAGCCATTATTTATAGTAATTTTTTTTAAGGCCACAGATTTGCAAAGTACCCAATGAAGTATGTGAGATTACTCACAATGGTTTTGAGAGACCCAAAGGTGGTGATGGTCTGGCGCAGAGCAGTTGTGTCGGCTTCAAAGAGCAGGACAGTTGAATCTTCAGGTTTAAGGGTCAAACTGCCCAGTCTGGGGGAAAAAAACAAAATTTGGCTATTTTTAAGAAATACCTGTTTCATCAACTTCATCTCAAACCAAAAGCCAAACTGTGAGTAATTTTAAATGACTACATTCACTTAAAAACTCAACCAAAGGTAGATGGCTTATTCATGTATCAGCGAATATAATATTAAATATATGAAGCAGAATGATCTTAGCAACACAGAAGTTAAATACGACACATGCAGTGAGTTACAAAATCGACTTTCTTTTAATATGCCAAAGTTAGAGCCAAAAGTTAAAATAAGTAAAAAGGGTCATTACCTCTCTAGGCACACAGAGACTTGATTGGCTAGATCTTTGTTTTGGGTACACTCCAGTTGATGAGTAAGACAATTGAACTGGCCCAATAACTAAAAGAAAAATGAAACCATCTAGCCACAATGATACCAAAAGCACCAAATATACTCAAGTTAAGAAATAGACTTGAGATTAAACTTTTATCTGATCTATATTAACACCGCATTACAAGGAAGATATTCTCTGGCAACCAGAATCCATGCTCGAACCAATTCTAGCCATGCAGTCACCTTACCCAGTACAGCTGCTGAGCTTGCTGCTGAAGTGTCTCCTCTTTAAGCTGATAGATGAGGTCCACCTGTTCGTATAGCCACACCTCACGGCTTCTAAGGCATTCCAGGTGACGGCTTATGCAACTGTGAATCTGAGCTTTGACCTAGGAAACATATACATGTTAGCTTCTTAGTGTTATAAGTCCAAAGAACGATGTTTCCCACAGAACAGTGAAGTTCTGAAACTTTTTTTTGTGGGAGGAGGGGCTCGTAAATCCTTATTATTATCTAATGACATCTATGAAGTATTCCCCCCAAAAAATGCTTATTTTCAAGATTTTGCCTATAATTTCAGGGTTTAGTGTCCCAAAGCCCACCCAAGGACCCATTAAAGCCCTATGGACCCCAGTTTAAGAATCCCAACCATAAAGGCATACCTAAACTTTAAAATCCTCCTTCAATACCCATCCTTCTAAGAGGATTAGGTTTAATTTGGGTGTACTTATCAAGAGAAAATACAAGAATGTACCTGGAGATACTGATCCCCCTCGGTTTTCTACAAAATTTTAAAACCTATGGTTTTACAAGTTTATCAACAGAATAAAGACAGAGTGTTAACTTAATAGCTAGCCCTTAATAGCTAGCCCCTTATCTCTTTTCTCACCCCAACAGAATGGGCAGTCCATTCACAGCAGACCAATTCAGTAATGAGATATGCCACCACATGTCAACAGCTAGAAGACCATTAGGGTGGACATTTTAAGTGAACTTATAAACTAATGTTTCTAGAAGCATAAACAGTGATTGAAACAGGGTTAAATATAAAAATCCCAAGGGAAAAAGTCAAAACAGGCCATAAATCATCCATGACAACACACATAAGAAACTACATTTTAAATCATATTTGTTTTCTGCTTAATAAAGTTGTGTTTTAAAGTCATGTAATACTTGGCTACCACACACAACAACAAAACATTACTGGAAGTAACAACAGATTTCACTCCGGCTTGCCCTAACAGATATTCATTTACAGAACCATGCCATTAAGCAGTTAAAAGATGATGGGAAGGATGCTCAAGTGCATCCTTCATGCATCAAGAGGATGCAGTTGAGGATACTGCTCACTCATTTCGTATTTTTACTGATTACAGTGCCTGAGGAAGTATACAGAGTAGTAGTCAAAAATGCATGCTAACTAGAATTTTCTAGAATGGCACAGGGTTTTCCAGACTCTTCTAGCATCTACTTTATTTTCCCCTTGGGATGAAAGGCACCAGTATACCAGGCAACTGACTAGGACCAAGTAGACCATGCAAGGCATGGAGTGCAATTTTTTGCTGCCACAGAGAGACCAAGTCCTTGGCCATGCTCTAACCAGCCCTGTGACAAGAGTCCAAACACAGGAAGAGAAAAGTACATGTCACACCTCTCGCAAGTTATCTTTAATTTGCTGCTCAGCCCGGAGAACTCCACCAATAGCAAGTTCCAAGTCCCTCCGTGCATCACTACATCTCAAAAGGGGTTCTCTATTACTGGAGCTGCCACTCTGGTCTTGGAAGGTATTCATTCTGCTCACTGCTCCTTTAAAAGAAAAAAATATATATAAATAGCACCATAATTACAACCAAAAACCACCTTTCAATCATCCCTCAAATGATCATTCCAGCCAACTCCCATTACTAACTACTTAGATTACTTCCAACACTGGACCTAGCACAAAAGATACTTTTAATAAATATTGTCTACTCCCACCCCTCTACCACTGCTCCTGCCATAAAACTCTATAATCTACTTTAGTGACCCTTTACATGTGAACAGCTATTTCTGGAAAAATACACTAATTGTCCTGAATCAACAGAGCACACGGTGTCCAGAAAAGTTAAAAGAACATTAGAATATAATTTTCTATTTATAACACATAGTCATATGAGGCATGTGTTCCTCTTTGCAGATTTAGAGATGAAGACTAAAAGATACAGAAGTATCTTTGATTACTTTGAAAATAAGCTGCAAACAATCTGATACACAACGTTTAAAACACTGTTTAGAAGATGGAATTTTTAATTTCCCCTTTTAGGTAGAACTTTTTTTTATTTAGGAAGAACTTAAGAAAGACTTCATAGCTAGGAAGCTCTCAAAAATATAACATAGGGCCAGGCACAGTGGCTCATACCTGTAATCCTAGCACTTTGGGAGGCCGAAGGGGCTGGATCACTTGAGCCCAGGAGTTTGAGACCAGCTTGGGCAAAATAAAGAGACCCCATTTCTACCAAAAAAAAAAAAAAATTAGCCACATGTGGTGATTCGCACAGCTATTTGGCAGGCTGAGGTGGGAAGATCACCTGAGCCCAGGAGGTTACAGCTGCAGTGAGCTGTGACTGCACCACTGCACTCCAGCCTGGGTGAGAGAGTGAAACTCTGTCTAAAAACAACAAGAAAGAATAACAGATACATAGATATGTTTTTATATACAGAAAACTGTATATAATATATAATACAATGTGTATAACAGATTTTATGTGACAAAATGATTTTATATGATTCTGATATAAAGGAGACACAGAAATTGGAGTGGGAAAATAGAGTTCTCTAATAAGCTCAGGTTTAGAAGCAATAAGAAATAGGAATGGGAACAGCATATAATGATATAATGAGATTGTAACACAAGAGTGTCAGTAAAGCCACAAAGTAAAACTTGACAAAAGCTACCGGAAAAATAATGACACAGTTTTTAAACACTGAGAAAAAGGCAGAGGTGATTACTAGAACCCAGAAGAGATTCACTAAGCCCTGTGATACTAGTTATTTCCTTCTGGATTGTTTTACTAAACTGGCAAGTCAAATAATGCTGTAGACACAAAGGGATGACAGGAAGACTTGTGGCAAGACCGAACGTTATCACTATGGACAAAGTGAGTATCAGCTAAAGAGAAGCACAATTAAACTGAATACTAAGATTACTTTTTACAAAATACTCAAAGGACGACAGACTAAAGCCAGTTTGTAAAGTTTTTAGAGGCACATCCCTGTTTTTTCTAATTACCTGTATGAAAACATAGAAGACAAACATTAAATCTGGAAGTAACACGGGGCTGTGACAGAAACAGATTCCAAAACAATCTGTACACAGCTGTTAAATCTTACAGAACATAATGTAAGTTTTTTATACTTTAATCAGGGAGGGCAAAGAAGAGAATAATTCCTTTTTTAAAGAGTGGAAATCTTTAATCAAAAGTAAATTCTCTGTGAATTCGCAGTGTGCTGGGTCTGTGGGAAAAATAACTTACAATAGTGTTTGTCACAGGATTAACTTGTTCCATTATTAGACTATTATAATCCAATTATTATTAGACTAAATTCAAAACTTACTTCTGAGTAAAAAGCTTTAGAAGAGGACACTTAGAAAAAGGAAAGAGGCCTCAAAACCATGAAAAACTTCTCCAGGAAGAAAGGCTGTTTAGCCAAGATAAGAGACGTATCTCCAGGAGGACATGATTACTATTCTAAAGTATGTGGAGACCTGTCAACTAGAAGAATTAAATTTATTCAGAAGAGACACAAGGCAGTAAAAAAGATTAATAGGAGGCATGTTAGGCAATATATCAAATAACTTCCTAACAGTCTTGAAAGCAATGACTTTCTCAAAGAAGCCAGCATTGGAGTGAAAAGTGGCCCACCCAGTGTAGAGTCCTCTAAGTGGCTGACTGCCCATTTGAGACAAAGGAACTTTGGCAGTCCTTGTCTCCATCTTTAAGACTAAGTTTAGGGCCAGGTGCCTAGGCTGAAAACTGGAGAGGGACAAAAGTGGTGAGTCCTTCCCTCAAAAATAACGTATTCTGAGGGAAGTGAAAAGAAGCAGCCCAACACTTTCTGTCCACTAACTCAGCAAAAGACTCGATTCAGGAACTAGAGTTTCTATAAGAAACTGAACAATTCAGGAAATTTTTTAACTTTCCCTTGCTGATTTTGTTTCATCAGTCTGTTTCTACATAATCATCTATAAAAAGAAAGGCCTGCCTTAATTGGATTTCACAGAAGTCCCTGTGGAAATTTTTCCAACCTTGGACACACCAACAGTGGTTACTTTGCAGCCTCCTTTTGCATGCCATAGGCTGCCTGTGTTAGGCAGAAGTGTTAGCGTGCACTTGGCACTCACTGTGGGGACTATGAAAAATACCTGCATCACACGGGTGAAACGCTGGCTCAGATTTGGAGAGCTGGGGCATGATGGGCTGCTTCACTTTGCACTTAGGTCAGTTATGCAAGACATGTTGAGCAGTCTTTCAAACGTATTAACCAACCTTCTTCATCTGTGCCAAATTTCCCACTCTTAGGTCCTCACCATTTGTGTGGAATGCCACAATGCCTGGCACAGTGTAAAATTTAATCATTGCTTCACAATGTCAAAATCCCAGAATTCCGGAACATATGAGAGGCAAACTCAAACACATACAGTGCTGACTATATTACTAGATTCCTAAAGCAAGTCCTCTCAATTCAATCACAAGTACTAATATTACATAATAAGAGAATACAGCAGGAGTTCACACACTGGACTTTCCCCTTATCAGCTACAGACAGAATGTAGGATGAAATTTAAGTTACAAAACTGATTTTTCCACACACAGTTATATTTTTTCAAATTAAAATGAATGTTATCCTTCAAAAGTCATCTTTAGAACTCATTTGTCAGCCACAAAGAAAACCTGTTTCATTTCTTTACGGTAAGTCCCAGGACGCTGTCCCTTTGCTGCCTTTGGCTCTTTCTGTCCCTCCTCCTCCCTGTGTCTCAGTCAGAGCACAGTCAGCTTTCAGAGCCCAAAAACCAAGAAAGGAGCTGTGCAAAGGCTTTCCCTCTTGCATTATGATGAAGAGGAAGAGCTGAAATGAAGAGTCCAACCATGGGTAAATTTAAATCACAATGAGTAGACGCCTGAGCCAGCTGTACGGAATGTTACATCCAAAGAGACTGGTATGAGGTAACTAGTTCACATGGCCATTTTCAACAGTTATTCACCATTTGTTTCATGTTCAAGAGCCAGAGTACCAAGCTTGACCGTTAAGAGGTCATGCTGGAGTCTGACAAACCTGAATTCTGGCTGTGTCTCCAAACTTGAGACCCCTGAGCTAGTAACTTAACCTCTCTGGGCCTCAACTTCCTCAGGAGAATGGTAGACAAGGATGGTAGCCACAGAGGGCTGCAGTAAGGTTAAAGTGAGGCATTATTTATCTACCGGCACTTAGCCTAGCACCTGCACACTGTAAGCACTCCACACTGCAGTGGTTATTGTTAACAGGTTTAGCTGGCAGGCTGTAAAGTCAACAGGCCCTGACAGAATCCTGTAGCCATTTATCAGGGCTATGACCTTGCACCATTTGCCCTTGTAGAACCTAACTTCCTAATTCTTAAGTGAGGACTATAGATTCACAGACTTAGGGGTAAGGAAGTGGTGCTTATTTAATAAATATACGCTTTCCATCTAGTCTTTCACTATACAATATAGCAAAGGGCAATCTTTTATTTACTCCAAAAACTCAATAGTCTAAACCCTCTAATATATACCAAGTATATATACTTTCAACTGTTTTCTTACTGTAAAAAAATTGGACCAAATCAGCTCTGATCCTAATATTCAAATCAATAAAAGATTACTAAAAATGTCTTTTTATCTTCACCATTATACTCCAAAATATTGTCTGACCATCTTCAAAAGAGAATTGCCTTAAATGTTTATTTTTTGAGACAACATTAGAAGTTTAAGTGGTTTCTAAAACTTACGTACCTCTAGGATCCCTGTCCTAAATTTGGGGGTGGAGAAGTAAAGGAGGAAGACAGAAACACACATACCCTTCAAACAAATAAAACCTGGAGTTTTGTCAACAAGGAATTCTTTAAACTATATATGACATGCTTACACAATGCTTTGCACAAATGTATAAAGTCTGAAGATCATGAGACCAGAATTGAGCAACTAACCACAAATGAAGCTAAGTCATTACCGTACAGCTTAACCATAAAATTTCCAAAGAGCTATAACTCTTGTGACCCCCACAAATTACAATTTAAAGCTGAAAAATAGTTCCTCACAAGCCTATTTTAAAAAACAAAAGTAAAAAATAAAGCTGAAAAAATCTTGGCCATCTCTTTAACGTAACACTTTCATTCTACAGATGAAGCCACAAAAGCTCAAATAGTTTAAGTGTCGCATCTAAAGGGCCACAGCCAGAAGGGGTAAGATTTGGGTTTAGAACTATAGTTCCCAAGGTCTGCTTCTGGGTTCTGCCTCCCAGATGAGCTTGTTCTTCCTTTAGTGTATTATCACCCATAAAGTATTTTTATTTGCCAACACTAGAGATAAAAATGAACATTCCAATGGATTACTATTGAAATAACTTCCATTAAGATTTTCACTTTATTGTCATAGTCCTCATTAAGTTATAACCACGATTGCTCAGAATCTCCTGCCTTGGATAACACTAATAAACAGTACCATTGTATGTCATGATAGGCTCAGAAAAACCAAAACACTGCCCAGTACCAATGCAAATCGTTCTGATTCAACATGTGTATCACAGCCACTCCAGTTTCATTTGTCTGTAAGAATGAAAGCAGTGGCTCACACCTGTAATCCCAGCACTTTGGGAGGCTGAGGTGGGCGGATCATAAGATTTTTTCAGCTTTATTTTTTACTTTTGTTTTTTAAAATAGGCTTGTGAGGAACTATTTTTCAGCTTTAAATTGTAATTTGTGGGGGCCACAAGAGTTGTAGCTCTTTGGAAATTTTATGGTTAAGCTGTACGGTAATGACTTAGCTTCATTGTGGTTAGTTGCTCAATTCTGGTCCCATGATCTTCAGACTTTATACATTTGTTTAAAGCATTGTGTAAAGATCTCATATATAAAGAATTCCTTGTTGACAAAACTCCAGGTTTTATTTGTTTATTTTTAAACCCCATCTTTAAAAAATAATAATAAATAAAAAGAAAAAAAAGAAAGCTCAGACTAGATCATCTCTAACCTCACCTTCCAGCTCTCACATTCCATGCCCCCTTGCCACCTGTCCCTCCCCCTCCAAAAGACTCTACTTTTTACTTATTTGCCTGGCATCCCAGTCATTGTTAAAAGGCCAAGTGCATCAACTATCCACAGGATACCTATGTGTTCTATGATTACTACACTCGAAATACTAATTGAACAATTTGGTTATCTTTGATGAGACAACCTGCATTAGATCGTCTGTACACACTTTTAGTTTTAAAAAAATTATAAATTAAAAATATTTTGCAATTTTACCTTGAGATTTTTTTTCACTTCACACATTCTTTCTTCCATCTTTTTAAGGTTATTTTTTATACAACTCGTTAACTCAAAAATTATATACATCATACCCTAGCCCCAGCCCACTTTAAATTCTGTATCAAGACAAGTAGTTTCTGAAATCCAGAACCTGGTTCTCTGTAATCTTTTAAAAACCATACAAACGTTAATATTGCAACAGATATTAACGGAAGGTAATAAACTCACTATTGAGCATTTTTAGATTTAACACTTCACAGGTTCAGATTTTTCCACCTTTATACTAGTAACAGAGAGAAATCAATCCCAGCACATCAACCTTTTTTGTTTTGTTTTTGAGTCAGAATTTTGCTCTTTCGCCCAGGCTGGAGTGAAGTGGCGCGATGTCAACTCACAGCAACCTCTGCCTTCCAGTTTCAAGCTATTCTCCTGCCTCAGCCTTCCGAATAACTGGGAGTACGGATGCCCGCCACCACACTAGGCTAACTGTTGTATTTTTAGTAAAGACGGGGTTTCACCATGTTGGCCAGGCTAGTCTCGAACTCCTGACCTCATGACCCACCCGCCTTGACCTCCCAAAGTGCTGGGATTACAGGCGTGAGCCACCGCGCCCAGCACATCAACTTTCTAAAGAAGTAACTGAAAACTGACCACAAGGCGTTTCTAATTCGAAAGCAACAGTGACTCATGCGGCTTTCGAGGCTTCCCAAATGCCCTTTGCGGAAGCACAGCACCTTCAGGAGCCCTCGCCCTCTGGTCCCCGGAAGCCAGCAGGCTCCCAAGTCCCGGTCGCTGCTCCGCACGCATGTGCGAGGCCGCGGCGGTGTCCCAGCTCCTGCCTGGCGCCAGCCCAGTAAGACTGCTGGCCGCAAGGACTCCCGCTGCGGCCTCAGGATTGACAGACGTACCTCACAGGCCAGGTCACCGACACACCAGCTGCCCAGCGAGCAAGAAGCTGCTTTATTCGTGACCCGAGTGCGGAAGGCCCCAGAGCCAGGGCAGCGCCTCACCCACACGTCACACGGCAGCCACCGACGAGCTGGAGCGCTCCAGCCAGAGGCAGGGAGGAACGGAAAACTCCGCCCCTGTTGCCGCGCTCCCCGCCCATCCTCGCTGGCGCTCGCGGCCCCCGCGCAGCTCCCACGCCGCTGGGCCTCCCCTCTAGGCACCTGCTGCCCCCGCCCGGCCGCCCAGGGCGAAGCCAGCTAACTGGGCCTCGGATGGCACCCGGGGGTCCTCTCCTGCCTCTCCTCTCCCCACTTGCTACACCCGATAATGGGCCCAACTCAATGAGAATTATATGAACTATAATGAATTATATGAACTAAAATGTTTAGGACAGTGCCTGGCATATAGCACGACTTACCTGTGACTATCATGCTTATGATAGCTTTCCCTTTTCTCCAAGATAATCCTCATAGCCTACATATCCAATTAGACCAGAAGAAGAAATCTAGACAACGTTGTAATTCCATTTCCTTTTAGTCGATTTTTGAATGTAAAATATTCGCTCTTGTCTTGCATATAAAGCTATTTTTGTAAAGAATAAGAGTAAAGCAAAATCACATGAGAAACACCAAAAGGGAACACTAAGGGGCCATCACACTCAAGCAACTCTGGGTCTGAAGCCAAAGGCCTGAAAACCCAGGGGGCCACTGGTGTAAATCCTGAAGCCCAAAGTCTGGAGAGCCTGGAGTTGTGTTGTTCAAAGACAAGAAAGGAGGAATGTATCCCAGCTCCAGCAAATAGATATGCCTTTTCAATGTTTTTGTTCTCTCTGGGCTCCAGCAGATTGGATGGTGCCCACACACATTAAGAGTGGATTTTCGCCACTAATCTACTCGGATTCACACCCTAATCTCCTCTGGAAACAGACATACCCCAAAACAACATATTACCAAGTTTCTAGGTTTCCTTAATCTAGTCAAGTTGACACCTAAAATTAACCATCACAGCTCTCTACTTCCTGGCCTCACTCTGGCTCTCTTGCTGTGTCCCAGAATAGCTCTTGCACGCTCATCTACTGGAGAGCTGTTCTATGCATAGGCTAGTTTGGTTTATCTTGGCTATCAGCTCTCTCTGCCAGCAATGCCAGTCTCTCCTCTTCTCCCTCCTTGTCTGCTTTTCAAGTCACCATCACTAATGACAAAGCCTTTCCTGACCGAGCACCTCACTCCTCAATACTTTTGGCCAATACAGTTGGCTGCTGCCTGCTGCATGACCACTGTAATCTGTATGGGTTTCCAGCAGGACACCTGTAACACTTACTGCCCTATTGTTACATGCCTGCCTCCTGAGCCTGATGGCTTCATGAGAGAAGAAACCATGTCTTATTGATTTAATAGAATTGTACATCTTACTACTGAGCAGACAGCCTGGTATCAGTACCTTGGCATTACCAATCCTTCACATTCTATGTGCCACTGAATTGACATAAAGAGAAGAATGTCCCTGGCATTGTACAGTGCTTGTCCCTAAGTTCAACAGAGGCCTAAGAGATTTTAGACAAACAGATGGATGAATAAATGAT